TTATTTGAGCTTGTTGGACATCCCTCTCCAAAACTATACGCATTAATATGGAGTTAGCAAGCTGTTAGCAATCAGTGTGGCTGAAACACCTAAACTCTAATTAAGACAGGTTTCCACATACTTTTGGCCATATAATGTAAATGTATACTTTTCTTTTCTAATATCCAAATTACTTACTTTGTCAAAAATTTAGCATCAAGTATGTGACAAACTGTAATTGTTTGGAGAGATACAACAAGATACATATAACCAACACAGCAACCACTGCTAGTATTCACCCTGCTCTCTCTGGCTGGACAAACATTTAGCAAATAAGCTCAGCGTCAACCAATCTGATTGTTGATCTGGAGCTAGAAATACTTGCGTCATGCCTATAGTCAAGAAACACGCACACATTTAATTAGGGCACGGAACTAGCCTACAACTCCTACTTGTGTTTTACCAAGTAGTCAAAGCGACAAGTTACATGGCCAAAGCTCTATAAAGCAGTGTTAACTTTAATAGTATGTGGCTACTGCAGATTTTAAACATGAATAAATAAAACAAAATAAAAATGCATACTCCACCCTACAAAAAGTACACATGGGTCTTTACTATGCTCTAAACATTTTTAAGTTCTCATGCATCCCTGTGCTTCACTACTACAAAATGTGAAGAATGTGTCTCACACTCTATTTTAGCACATTTAGCATAATGTATCCACATGCAGGTTCAGTTCTACCCAGTGTCACCCCTCTCTCTCTGAGTTGTAAGCAGACTGAGCAGTTCTGATTGAGCAGACCTCCCAGTCTGCAGTAATCTGAGTGAGAAGGCTAATTGAGGTCGTTAGTAAACCTCAGCTCTTTCCCAGACCCCCAACGCCATTAAATAGCTCAAAGTGAAAGTGTTTTTCAGAGGGTATCTTTGAGTCACTCCTTGGGGACCAATATACAGTCAACACTTTTGTTCTGCTGCAGGTGATTGAGGGCTATAAAGTCTTGATTGCTCAGCTCTAGTGGGGAACTGGGTTGAAGACCTAGGCCTCAGAATAGAAACTAGTTTTGAGAGAAGATTAGAATGAAAATGGGTTTTGATTAAAGCCTATACTATAAATTTTAACCCTTTAAACAGCCATTTGCATTGTTGGCCATGTAGTTACTGAACAATAAGCCTTCCCATGTAATAAATCTGGGATTTAGGGGGTAAAAACAGTCACACCAACTCTAGCTCTGAGATTCCTCAAGGAATAGTAAACAGCAAAATTAGAATTATATTCAGTGTGGTCTGAAAGCCTCTATTACTAAAGGGCAACGTCGTTGATTTTTCAATATTTCTGCATAATTCAATCCATGAGCTGTAACCAAAAAGTCACCAGAGTGTTTTGATGTAAAATGGCTCGATATCACAAAAACACAAACACAGCCTTTTTATTTACTATTCAAAATAATGAGTGAACGTACTTGCATTTAAATCTGAAAAAAAAGGTTTTCTTTGGACATTATTTGGTATTAGAATGTCCTACATAAAACTCTCCACCAAGAAGAGGGTTTAAAAAATAAGTTTTAGGACAAAATTATGTCTCAAAACAATAATAAAATAATCTCTCATGCATCAGGCAGCATATATTTGTTTGCATTTCATGTGATAGTTTTCTGTGAAGGAGCTTTTACAGGCATTAAGCGCTTCAGACATCTGGTTCCTTTCACTACCACTGAGAACAATCTTGCTTGTTTCTCTAGAACAGAGCATTTCACATCAAATCACTCTGAGTCACTTATTTAATTACAAAGAAATTTGGAAAAATCTGTGGAATTCACCTTGAAAGCATCAGCAAATGTCCTGCTTGGCCAGTCTTGACTGAGGCTTTATGGTAGTTGTTCCTGTTTTTCGACTAACCTCAAAAACATCAGTCACTCCTTAAAAAAGCTACTTACCCTCTTTTTACCCTTTCCTTACTCGTGCATAGCTAGAGCGTGACCTATTCCAGCTCAGCAATAACAAAAGTATCTGGCCAGGCAGTGGGGGATCAGTCAGAGTCAGCAGTGTAATACTTTGAAGGGCTGACTAATGGGGGAATATTGCATTCTTAGCTTTTAAGATCTTTGTCTGCCTGTTAGCTTATGCTTGAGACATCACAGAACCCTCACTGAGGTAAACCTTGAGACATACTGCAATTTCTCTATCAGGCTCAGCAGATGGAAGAGTGCTGTAGAAGTGTAGGAGGAAAATAGACAGAAAATGGTGATGTGAGAGTTTAAAGACACATAAAGGCAGCATATATTTTCTGCATGATTATAAGGTTATTTTTTAATAATCCCTTATATCCAACTGTAGAAGAAGAATGTATTAAATTAAGTAAAGTGAACTTTTAAGACAAGTGAACCGTGTCTCCCCCTGTTGGTCGCTGTTGTGAACTGTAACATCAAAATATACACTGTCAACTATTTCATCAATCTGCAATTATCCATCCATCCATCCATCAACTAAACCGCTTATCCTTCTGGGTCACGGTGGGGTGCTGGAGCCTATCCCAGCTGTCAGGATACACCCTGGACAGGTCGCCAGTCCATCACAGGGCAGACATACACATTAACACACTCACTCACACCTAGGGGCAATTTTAGCATGTCCAATTGGCCTGACTGCATGTTTTTGGACTGTGGGAGGAAACCGGAGTACCCGGAGGAAACCCACGCAGACACGGGGAGAACAGGCAAACTCCACACAGAAATGACCCTGGCCGGGAATCGAACCCAGGCCATTCTTGCTGTGAGACGACAGCGCTACCTACTGTGCCACCGTGCCGCCCTTAATATAATATAATTAGTGCAATGTATGAAATCTGACATAACACTAAATAATGTCATTCCAAAAAGAAGATTAGTGTAAAAAACTATTTTAAACCTTCAAAGGTCATTTTATGTACTTTAAAGTGCACAGCATTCAAAAGTTTGGAATCATCAGTCATATGAATTATTGTTAAACAATAATAACTCATACTGTGTAGATTGAAAGGTTATAAACTAGACAAAAAAATGCAAACAAACGGTTTGTTCACAATAGTAACAGTAAATGCTGTTAACAAACTGCAATTATATAATTATAAGAATTTATTGGTAACTTTTTTAAATGAAAGTCACAAACAAAAAATAAATGAAAAGCTTGATGCAATTTTGTAACATTCTGAGAGTTGAGGTACTAAGCACTAACCTGTGAGTGCTGTGAGTTATCTGAGCAATGACGCTGGACCCAACCACAGAATAAAAGAACTTAAGTAAAAGACAAGAGAAAGGTTTACTTGGAAAAAGGAAAAACAAAGCAAGGGTTACAAACAGGATTTATAATAAGTAGTAATAAGTTCTAGAGTAGGTGTGTACAACTCCAGTCATGAAGGGCCGGTGTCTAGCACAATTTGGTAACTTTTTTGTTCAAACACACCTATTTCAACAAATCCTTTCATTGTCAGGTTTAGCTGGTGTGTTTGAGTAGAGAAACTGCCAAAATATGCTGGACACCAGCCCTCCAGGACTGGAGTTTTGCACTCTTGTTGTAGAGCAGTGTTTCTCAACCCTGATCCTGGAGGCCCACTGCTCTGCACATTTTTGTGATTTTTCTGCTCCCAACACACCTGATCCAACTAATCAGGTCATTAACAAGCCCTTACTAAGTTGAGGTGGCAGTACTGAAGCATGGAAAACACTAACGTGCAGGGCAGTGGGCTTCCAGGACCAAGGTTGAGAAATACTGTTCTAGAAGAAGTGGACAAACAGCGTCGCCCTCTAGTGGCAACCAAGCAGTACAGCACTCCTTACAGTAGTTGAGTATTAAAGGGACATTGTAGTCTAAAACAAGAGTTTAAAATGTTATTTGTCACATTATATGACATTCTATATTCCTTGTATCTCTTAGCTTCAACTGTCTGACATAATTCATGAATTTGTATTGTTTTTGTGTTCTCGCTTATCAATGTTTTCTGACTACGGTACCCAGCATGCATTATGCAAATACTTCATACTTCATACACTGCTAAAACTTGATAAGAAGTCTTGCTTGCTAGCATAGCCACTGATATAGAGGCTGATGAATACAGACATGATTTTCAGCTTCCTAGCAGTTCTGCATTCACCAGCTAGTGAAAATTCACCCCCAACATCCACCCCAAAGCAGCAGCTTCAAACGTTCCTCCCACCTTCAAGATACATCATCAGGAAGAGGTTTTCCTCATCTTTATACCAGAGACTCTCACTCAAGAGGCAAGTAATCATGTTTATAATAGCAATAGTCAGTTTTTTTATTTAACAAGGGCTACTGTAACATACATCAACTCAAGTAAAGAGGGGTGTATGCACATGAATGATTCTATAGAAGAGTGAGACGATAGAACAAAATATCATTCAATGTTTATTTTTGACATACAGCTACAGGCATTTTGTCCAAATTCAATGGACACTCAAATGGAAGATTTCAAATCCATCCATTATGGAGATTAAGTGAATGTTGGTTTAAGGGAATCTGCTGTGACTAAATGATGTTTCTCCTTCATCCTCTTCATGTACCAAACTAATATAGACTGAAATAATGTTTGTCTTAACAACTTACTGTCCAGACCTTCCTTTCTTCTGTCACAGGTGAGCATGTTTCTACGCACACCCATAGATTAGATTCATAACTGATAAACTGTGCTTGTTTCCTCAAGCCCACAAAAAATTGAACGATGCTCTCACTCTGACGCACATGCACATGTGAAACCCATGCTCACATATTCTACAGATTCAAAACAGCTTTTAACTGTATTTAATTACTCAGCATAAAACATTAACTGACCAACACGTGAAAGGTAGGCTCATAAACTCACACACATGGACAGGCACATGCACACGTTCTCTCTCACACACATACAAACACACACACACACACACACACACACACACACACACACACACACACACACACACACACACAGCCCAGCACACAAACACACACACACACAGTCCAGCACACAAACACAGAGCCCTAGTTTGTCAATTATTAATTGAACATGATACTGTGTGGAGAGAGGCCACACTAACTGTGGCCATTTTACAGAGAGACGTGAGAGTTCCTCATGATTCCTGATCGGATATTCACCTTCTGCATGTCACTCTTTTCCTGATGTCCAGTTAACCTCTGACCTGCACTGGACCCTTCCTAATGGACCCAGGTAAAGCTACAGGGCTCTATAAGCTGTCTAGGTCTGATGTTACGATGTGGAATCTATTGTTTACCTCTCAATGCCATGACAGGGGATACCTTGGTTTGAAAGTTGAAAGGAATCTGATCTCAGACCAGTTGTTCCTTTCATGGTAACAGTCAGGTTCGCCTGAAGAGTTCTGCCTTTTTTTTTAGCTAACCTGGATGTCGACAGCTTAAAGAAAAACAGAAATAGCAAAAACATGGAAAAATTCAACAAGCAAACCTAGAAAGAATATATCAAAATGCAAATGGTCTGTGATCCACTCCACTCCACTGTAACTTTCAGTGTTGATATCAGTCAGGACAACTTTGGAACCATAAGTATGTAAGTGTAATGACTTTATAGAAGAATGTCATTTTGATGTCATAATAGGCCATAAGAAATACCAACTCAAAACTTTTTAAACCAAACCGGCCATCACTTGGATTACTACACCGTAGAGATTGTGTTTACTTAAAGAAAGTACAAATTCCGATTTCTTCACAATGGTGGTCATGGGAACCAGGGGTCACTATGGCTACAGAACAAAAACATTTTATTTACATTCCAAAATGACCAGTGAACCTATACATGTCTTCTGTGTTTTATATGTAATGTTGATCATGGTAAAATAGAGGTAAAAAAATAGTTTTTCTTTGGGGATTATTTTGCCTTAGAATGCCCTGTATGTCCCTCTGCACTATGAGTTTATTTAAAAAATACATTTTAGGCCAAAAGTTTATCTCAAAACTATTGTGAAACAACAGCATTAGGCAGCATATTCATACTATTTCAACGACTTTCTGTGCGGGAGCTTTTAGAGGCATTAAATGCTTTGATGTCTGGTTCCTATCACCACCACTGTGAACAATTCTGGCTGAATAAGTTTTTCTAGAAGAGAGCATTTCACATCAAAACACATCTTGTTGACTTTGTTTATGTCTTATGCCATCAGTTTAATTATGTAGAAAATTGGTGGAATTCCCTTTTAAGTCTACAAAGTGATTTTATTTAAAGTAAACATAAAGTCTAAAGTTGAAGAAGTTAATATTCCCAAGTAGCATTTGTGAGAAACTTGCTATTTAATAAACATGCTTAAAACTTGGTAGTAAAGTATACTATTATTTACACTGTACAGCCAATGCTATACAGTACTATACAGTACTGAAAAATATACATACATATGTATACATATACATATTTTTCCTTCACAGGAGCTGTATGCTTGTGTGGGTTGTGTATGTGTGTGTTCACTTTTGATATGCGTCACAGTGGAGGGTAGGAAACTCAATGAGCCGTGCAGGCTAAAGGAGAGCGCCTCAGACTTGCCACCTGAATTAATTAGTCCTGGGTCTCTCCTTCTCTACAGAATGGAAAAAGTGGGTCAGTCACCTGCTAAATAAAGGATGAAGGATAGCTGCTTTAATATTGACCACTAAGGCCACTTTCACTGGCCACAGCAGGCTTATTTTCATATTTCTGGAGTTTCTGGGCTGTGCTTAAGTCAGCCATAGTGCTAAACAGGAATAAAAAAAAACATTCGCAGTGGAAACCATTTAAGCTTTACGTTAACCTGAAGGCTTATTATTGAGTAACTACTAGGAATTATTCAGTAACCACTATGTAAAGTATGTGTAGAGAAGCAGGAAGGGAAGTTTAGACCTGCCAAAGTGGTTACAGTGAGGTTAAGGTTAAAAATTAAAAAAATCAAAATTTCCCCTTACTTTACATAGGCGATGAGCAAAGACATATTGGTGTCTATTTTAAACAGAATTACATACAGAATTTGGCACTGGATTGGCTGCTACTGCTGTTTTTAGCAACACAACATATCTTTGCGCAGTTTTGTTGATTTTCTAAGCGAAAATAAGTTAACACTTCCGGGCAGAGAAAACACTTATCCACATTTTAATGCACAATTACTGTTCATTTACTGAATTTAACCTCTTGGGAAAAACAAATTAAACATAAAATGTGGCAGGTACAAAGGTTATGTATGGACGCCCTGGATGGGCCATGGATTCACATGGTTTATTTCTAAGTTTTTCTATGATAGTGAGTCATTTTTGTTTTCTCAAGATCTTGTTATATTTATGTCATTATCATTGCAAAAATAATGTTGTTTTCTTGAGATCTAGAGTTATTTATACCATTATCACAAGATGATGGACATTGTTTTGTCAAGATAACTTTTGTTATGTTGCGATAATGACATAGTATCTTGAGATCTTGAGACAACAACATTCACTGTCATGATATTGATATAAATATCTTGAGATCTTGAGAAAATAACTCATCATGGAAAAACATGCAAATTTATGGCCTTTTAGGGCTTCCATAGTTGTGACGCCTTTAATATGTTTTATGTTTTATGTTTTTGGGGGTTTTTAGATTACTTAACAACTCCATGCACTTTGAAGCAAGTGTTACACATGAAGTTTGCACAGTACTAATTCGTAGAGTATACGCTTCCATCACTTGTTAGATACATTAGCCTGTAGTTCCAGTGCAAAACTAAAGAAGCAAACCTCAGACACCAAACGTCTCTTGGTGAGCATCTTCATTTAGGGTAAAACTAAACCGAGTAATTGTGTAAAATTGATTTTTTTGCCAAACCATGGCTTTAAATGTCAAATTTTTCCAATTCTAGCCCAATTTTCATCAAATTACCGACTGCACTCATTACCTTGCTTCTGTTTTTCTCCAGTCAGTCCACCAAACATCCCAGATGATTCAGAAATGCATGCAGCAGGACCCCCAGGAGTTCAGGAACCTCCTCAGCAGCCAGCACACAGAGCCCCTCCAGCCCGTCCTGGTCCGCCAGCATACGACTCAATCAGCATCCTGACCACAGGGCCCGCCAATGACACAGACAGCATTCACACTGGCCATCCAGCGACTGATGGCGACAGCATTCAGACCGCTCATCCAGCGTATGACACAGACAGCACACAAACAGCTCACCTCACTTACGATACAGACAGCAACAGGACCCTAAACCCAGCCTATGACACGGACAGTACCCGTGCCCTGCACCCCGCCTACGTCCTGGACCAGATGACAGCAGAGGGTGCAGCAGGGCCAACTGGGGCAGAAGCTACTGGCAGTGGTAATATGGTCAACCCCTCTGAAGACCCTCCGCCCTACAGCCCTCCAGATCCCAAACTGGCCTACCTAATCTACCCCCCACCATTGCCCCACTACCCCAACCAGCCGGTCATAGCCTGCCAGCCTGGAGCCAATACACCCGCCTTCTACCAGCCTTCTTTTCTGCCACCCTCCACCTACCCGTCATACGCTATAGTAAGAGCCATCACTGCTATGACACCGTTTCACCAACAAACATTAAAACAGTCATGATGAAGACCGTCTCACTGTGGGCACATGCACTGCCAGTTTATTAGTTACATCTAGCTTCTACCTACATACACTGGCCATTTTATCTGAAACATCTAATATGTGGGTGCACTTTGTAGCTTTACAATTAAAACTTTAGCCAATTTCTTGCTGCATAATCTCTTTCCCACCCTCTACTTATCCGTCTGTGGAGACCACCAAAGGACCACCACTGGCCGGATATTATTTGATGGGGTGGACCATTCTAAATCCAGCATTGTTGTGGTGTCAATAACCAGTGAGTGCAGATCCATGTACCTTATAAACCAGCACTGAGTACATACCTCAGCTTTGCTGCAATGTACATTTCTGATCATTGAAGTGATGTCTTACTCAGGTCCGCCTGTCTACCCCACGTAACCTTGTTGCCACATTTTGAGTTCATGGAACTTCTAATATGAGATTAACAGTACAATAAATTGTGTTTTGCATTCTGTTAACTTATTATTCTGTTTACTTTCTATTTAAAGTTAAATAAACTGAAATTTTTAAGGCAACTAGGTTACAAACTTTTTTAAGTTAAAACATAAGTATATATCCGACATTTCTTTAAAATGCAATCACGTTCTTATGCATACAAAGAAAAACAGTGAATACATAATACATTTTGATCTGGAAAAAAATAAACTCTCTGGGACTCACTGGGCTTTTTCTACAAACAATATTGAATCGGACAAATAAATAGAAACCGTGCACTAAAATTAGAAGAATAATGCCATTTTTAAGTGTGTTCTTTTTAGAGCACGTGTTAATTTATTTTCACTTAGAAAGTCAACATGTCGTTTGACTAGGGGTGTGCAAACTTATATATAACTGTATTACTGGATTTATTGTGTGTGTGTGTGTGTGTGTTTCAGTACATGAATGGTCCACCACTTGGTGAGGAACAGACACCTTTACCTAAAGACTACCTAGTGGAGTCTCTACTAGTGACCATCTTCTGTTGTCTAATGAGCGGCCTGGTTGCACTCATGTACTCTTATGAAGTAAGTCATCCAGCATATTGTCTGTACTGTTACATGCTGTGTATTACATTACAAACATCATCACCTGCAGACTCTGTTGTTGCAGACTCGTGCAGCTCTGGCCCGGGGTGACATTCGTGAGGGCGAGAAGGCATCGCAGAAAGCCCGTCTTCTGGTGATGTTCAGTCTAATGTTTGGCGTCTTTGTGTTTGTGGGATGGATCATATATGTGGTTATAGCTGTCTGTGCTTAGTCAAACAAACACAAGAGATGCAGTTCCTCTGATTTTAAGGGCTTTCATAAATTTCAAAACAGTCAACAATCACATTTGCACAGAAAACAAGCAAAGAGATTTAAAAACCCATTGCCTGTATAGCTTGATTGTAAAGACTTTGAGCATGTAGAATAATGCTCTTATGCCACCTCCTTAGGATCTCCACTGAATTTACAAAATATCTGCTTAATTTAGACACTGAGATGTAAAAAGTCATTCAGAGTGGTTTGATATGAAATGGTTTACTGTAGAGAGACTTATCAACTGAGGTTCTTTGCAGTGGTGGTAACAGGAAGCAGATGTTGCGATGTACAGTCATGTGGAAAAGTTGGGAACATTCATTTATACTGTTAAAGTTCAGATTCTGATGCTTACTGATCTTAATCCATCAGTCAGCATTAAACTGCCGGCTTCATCACGCATTCATGTTCATCAGATGTATGAGCTCACCTTTTTATAAAAGTTATAACTGCTTATAAATGATTTATAGAGTGTTTCTGATCTAAGTAATAACCATTAATAAACACATTTTAAACCATTCATGAACCCTTTATAAGGGTAGTCTTATTAAAGTGGTACCCATTCATTTTCAACACTCTGCATGTACTTCTCCACTATAAACAGTTTTTATAATATATATTTTAGGCCAAAAACTTATCTTAAAACTACCGTAAAACACCATAAAACAATGTCTCAGGCATGAGGAAACATATTCATTTCATATAATAGCTGTCTGTGAGTTAGCTTTTAGGGGCACTGATAGCTTCCGATGTCTGGTTCCTATTACCACCATTGTGAACAATTCTGACTTGGAAAGCTTCTCTAAAATGGAGCATTTCACATCAAGCCACTCTGAATGACTTTGTTTACATCTTAACCATTTCATTATGCAGAAATTTTGAGAAATAAGTGGAATTCCCCTTCAGGTATGGTGGCACTTTCTTACTGTTGTATGATATAATAAGAGGAGAAGAGGTCTAACGTGATCTAAACAAGCAGCACTGTGTCTGAACTGTGAATACATATTGTATCTATTGGCGTTTGCTGCCTTGAAAATGTGTCTGTAATTTATAATTGTTCTAAAGCACTGTAGATACAGAGATTACAGTTAGATTTTTTTCACTAAAATGGAGCAAATATTTCTGGATGATTTCATTTCATGAAGTAAAAATGCCAGTATTTTTCTATGGATATTCTTTCAACTACTTTATCAATGCTAAGTACGTAACTATGTATACTGTTGCTATCAGTCAAATACAGATGTCTGCTGGAGATGCACCTTTATTTCAGCAATGTGTTAGAGCAAAATGTGTACAGTGTCTGTGTATGAATAAATATTAAAGCATATTAACCAAATTAGGTTTTCAATACAGATTATTTTTATTACATTCCTTTAAGCTTTTTTCCTCTCCACATGGCATAAGGAGCAGGCAATAAATACAAGTGGAGAGAAAGGCAATAGGGTAAAGATAAAGAAAAAGAAAAGAAACAACAGTTGACCAATAGAGGGAGTGAGTTAGCAGCACAGCAGACAGGCACCATTGGCTCTCTTAGTAACCTAACATGGTCTTCTTCCATCCAATATTTCTTACACACTATACAAACATATCTGAGTTACACAAAAGCAGCTGCAAAGGCATTATTACATAAGAATAAAGGCAATGAAGAGTTTCTTGTTCATTTGAATCTTTGGCCACAAAACAAAAGCATTAAAAGTGGCAACAAATACAATAAAACACAATAATGCAAACTAAATGACAATAATGCTAATTATAAATAGCATGATACTGTACTTATTAAAAGAAATCTCCTAAAATGTACAGTACTGTGCAAAAATCAGAGACCGCTCTTTATTTATTTCATTTGTAGTCATAATGGCCTATTAAGTACGAATTATTTATTTTTCAGTGCCAAGAAAAAAAGCAGAGAATATATTTTTTAACAGAAGCCTCAACAACTAAATATAATTTAAACTTCTTCAGTATTTAGTGTGTCCACTCTTTGCCTTTATTACAACTCCCACTCTTTTCAGAAGGCTTTCCTTTTTTAAGAAATCTGCAAGAATATTTTTCCATTAAGTTCAGTTCAGTCTTATTAAGTTCAGTCTTAGAAGTTGGATGCATTTCCTGCTTCTCATGATCCACGTAATCCTAAACATATTCAGTGATGTTGAGGTCTGGACTCCGGAGTGGTCAGTCCATTGTTCGGAGCACATAAACAGTTTATTTGCCAGATTTGCATTTTTTTTGTCTGTTTTCTTAGTAATGGCATCTTGACAGTTATAGATCCTTCCAAACCCATAGCGTTGAGTTGTCTTCTCACAGTAGAAGGATGAACAGAAAAACCTGTAGATTTTTCAGATTTGAAGAAAGAATGGAGCTTGATTTTCTCCTATAACTCAAAGATGAAAGCTTTAAGTGATGTTTGACCTAATGGTCAAACGTTTTGGTGGTCTACTAAGAATTGTGTGGCTAGTAGAAGTCTTATTTACTCTATAGCTTTTAATCATTTTTTTGAGCTCTTTTGGAAACTCCTGTTTTTCCACTTCTTTTGATTTTCCCCATCATTATGATTATCTTTAACTGGAAACTAAGAAAAATAGTCTCTGACTGTAACACAGTACTGCATGTCTTTTCCTTAACATACCCAATACACGTCATCTGACAATACATAACTTCATGCTAAAGCCATCCAGCCTTAACAGTAACAGCTTAAAAATAACTTTAAAGCAGAGTCTTTGTCCATCAGGGAGTGAATTTTCGCAACAAACATCATGACCAGCAAGAACTTATATATCCATCAGCCAGAAAATGGCCACCTGTCTCAAGAAATACACTGTATAATGTAAAATGTACAATTTTCTAGTTCATAGCTACAGAAGCATCTGCTGGACAAAAACTCCTGTGAGGTGCTTCAAATAAAAATAACATGGAGAGACACTGATATCGGCGCTAACTGATATCAGACTACTACAACTGACACTGCTTTCAAATTAGTCTACTTCAATCGCAGACAAGAGAGAATCATCTGCAATAGCTGCCTGTTGCTGCTATAGGGACATTTTTTTGCACAAAAACAAACACGATGTAAAATGGAATGTGGCAACATACAAAACAATGCAAAACAATCTGAACCACAACACATTAATATTCTGTGAGTACGTAAAAATGATTCATAAGGATTCCTTAACAGTAAGTTAGTTACAGGCAGCATGCTGACACTGAGCATAACATTTGACATCTTTACTGATGGTTACTTGGCATCTTTGCTGAAGGCTATTTCTATGCTTGATTTTGTACCTTGTTTGAAAATTCATCATTATGTCAAAAATGTCTCACTTCAAACCTTTAACAAGTTTTCAAAATCCTTCTCTAGGTATGGACCACCAAAGCACTTCAATGGAAAATCTCTAGAAACAAGTTTAGTCCATAACTAGACCTCGTCACAAAGCAGTCTAATAACAACCAAGCAAATTTCAACAACCACACGTTTCAAAAATTTCAAACTACACACACTCTGACACTCTGTATTCTGCTTTCTAACAGTAGTTTTAAAAGGCATTTGAAATCAACAGAATGTCATCTGGTTTTCATTACATAGTTAAAAGGTTATTAAATGTGTATTTACCCTGCTGATAAAATTTGTTTGCTTGGTTATGCCTTAGCCAGTTAGCCATGCTAACAATTGTAAGCTTGTTATTATTACAAGCTTGTAGCTAGTCAAGTGTGGAGATGTAATCTGGTTGTTTTGCGTTCAACTTTAGCACGTCTTTTTGTTTGATTTTAATGCAACGTTGTTTTAAAAGAATATTACATTTACACCATCTGTGTGTTAGCAGCAGTTCGAAAAGATGGCTGGCTTCACACCTTTACCTCCGTCTTGGAGGCAGCATGTATTAGCTTTCACACTCTCAGCTTGGTAGCATTGTGTTATTGGGGAAGGCCTAGCTAGCAACCTCACTTTGGAAATGGGGAGAAAACTTGCTAAAAAATCAGGACGAGAAGCCGAAAAAAACAGAATCTTTCCGCTAACTTAATTGATCAGCCAAGACATACTTGCCAAGACAAAAAACAGATGTACGGGCAAATTTCAGACTTCAAGATGGGGCAATGAATGCTTTTAGCTTTGGAACATACCTGTGTCCATTTGTAAAGACACAGTGTCAGATACCACATAATGCTTGTCTTGGCTGACTGATTACATTTGGGTTAAGGGAGAAACTGAGCAAATTTGAGTTTTCCCCAGACTATTCCTTTAAGCCTTGTTAAGTCTTCCACCAAAATGCTCTCTGTAACAGGTACTGATGTATTTATGAACATCTAAAGCATGTTTTACAGCAATGGTTTAAAGCTACTTTAGAAATTTCCTTCTTGTTTGTTGCTTACTTCTGATTGTGTCTACATATACTCTTCTGCCGCTACCTGATCTGCGTCCCCAGCCAGATTTGCACCACATATGTGCACCACTGTCACTTGTGTAAACTGCACTATGTTTTGCGATGCTGCCTGATCTGTTTCCTGTATGCAGATTAGCTTGTAGTGTTTAATGCTGAAACCACTACTTAGCAGTCTCATTCTCTTTCCTAGGTTAACACTATGTAGTATTATGTTTTTTTCTATGACTGAAAACATTTAGTTTAGAGCAAAGGAAGAGGTGAGGGATGTGGACAAAAACCTGCTCAATGTTACTATCATTTTAGTTTAGCATGAGAGCATGTCTGACTGAATCTCAAATGGCTCCTTATTCCCTATATAGTGCGCTGCAGAGGTCATGAAGCTTCAACACCCAAATGTTGCACTAAATGTTGGACTGGATGTTTTGCAGCTGCAACTGAACATAAATGGCTTTTTGTTAAGACACATAATGCACTTTTTGTGTGCAGAAGCAGTTATATAATAACCTATGTAATGTGTACTACATATGGAATATGAAGCCTTGCTACGATGTTGAGCCTATATTTTGCCCAGCTTTGTTCATGCTATTGTTATTGTAGCACCTATACAGGCTAAGAATGCTGCAATACACAAAGCAAGACCACTCAGGTTGATAAACACATCTTATAGCTCTGTGTTTTCACTAATAAACATGTAGAATAGCTTGCCAACTGAGCAAGTGCAAAATGCATAGGTAATTACTACTGAAGAATAAGGTCATTTTGTTACGGCTCAACTACAATTCTAAACTGCCATGCTTACACATTTGCAGTACAGATCAGGTACTGTCAGCTGGGGCTAAAAAAAGTAATGCTCCCTGTGGGTCCGTGACAATGGTGCACATGCGTGGTGCAAATTAGGCAAGGGACGCAGATTGTGTAGCAATACCTTACTAATAGCTTCCAGCACAACATCTCTCTCTCACAGCAATCCTGCTCATTATGAGTGGAAGCATTAATGGCCATCTTAGTCTAAAGCTGGATTATTTTTACCAGAGAAGGTCCAGTAATGTAATTTGTGTGTGATTGGATTCATACAGCATAAAGGATCTGTGAAATTTCTGCAAATTACCACAAATAGGCCAGATTGATATATCAATGCTGAATGTTTACATCAGTATTATGCAACAGGCTCCACACTTCTGAACAATGACAACACATTCTGTGGCTAAATGGCATATAGACTAGCATTAGGCTAGTAAATAGGACTACCATTACTGAGCTCTGCGTTAAGCAAATTACTATTATTATTATTACTATTATTATTATTATTATTATTATTATTCACACTGAATTTAAAAAATCACAGATCTTGTTAGTAATACAGCACCTCCCCAGGTAAAACAAATCCAGCTTAAATAGGACTTACTTGAATGCTTAAAAGAATATGGCCCCAACTTCATTTCCAAGTAAGGAGACAAAATTCATAAGAGAAATCATGAATATCATAAGGGATAGCACTCAACATCTGAAGAAAACTTATCAAATTTCAGAAAATTATCTGGGATTGCCAATGTAAACAATGTTTGCATTTAGACTTGACCTATAACCACTTGAGTGTCTGTTTAGTTGAAGAAGTTCAGAGTGGATTAAACTGTGAAGGAAGAAGTGAAGGTATGGACTGGACTGGATGGACTAATAGGTCCAGTATTTTCTAGTACAGAAATTCACTGGCAGGCATATATCTACATAAAGGTCTGGAGATTTCAAATTCAAGCACTTGGCGTGAGATAATTGTTGGCTTCCATATTTTGGCTGTGATGATCCTGACTGAAATGGTCTTGTTGGAATGTTAGTTGCAATGCTGAAATCTATCAGAGATAACCCATTAGTGCACAAGTCAGCTTTTTTGGTCTGAATGGTTTAGCAAAAGTGTGTTTGGTAGGAAAAGCCCTGAATGGCTTGTGATGTCACTGTATCATGATCATGGGATAAAATGTTTTAACCTAGTTCCAGAACTGTGTAATCATTGCTGCTGAGAGCCAGTAAACTAAGCTTAACATCAAAACAGATCAAACCCTCAACAAAAAAGTTCTTAGTCAGAAGTATGAAATTGAGTCCATGTCTGGATCTATTTCTAACTATGTTAGTGCATGTAATTATGTATAGATGTATTTGCATCCTTTTTAGCTTCTTTAGCTCAAAAGCTCCAGGTATGTGACAGGCACCTTCCCTTTCTGATTTCCTCGTTCTCCAATCAGCCAATCAGAGTCCATGCCTGGCACTGTGTACACTGTAATGAGCTGGAAACATCAAAACAGAGAAAAAAAGACAAATTATAGGAAGTTAAACTTTTGCAGAATCTTGATATGTAGATTTATTGAATGCTCATCATTTCCACATGGATAAAATGAGGAACCTTCGGGGGCCTCTAGGCCTTCTCTGATTTCTGAGAACAATCAATTATGCTTTGATTTGCAATTGGCGGGACCAATTTTGCGAGGGAAAAGAAGGTCACTCTGGAAATCCTAGATACAGCACTGACAGTAGTCTAACCAGGTTTCTGTAAGGTTTTAGAAATGAAAAACAGCAACATAGGAGGCAAAACATATGCTAATGTCTGTTACAAGCTTTAAATATCTGTGTGTAATTTAAAATGGCCAAAAACTGTTAGTGCCCAAGCATTAGCTTAGTTATTTAGTCAATTACTGTTTGCATAATAAAGCATGCTTTCAAATGTACTCCTATGTGTGCTACATCATTTCTTTTTGTTCAACTGAACTTTTTAGCCTTATAGCAGCAGTGCTAGCAAGTAATACACTCTCAGAAATAAGGGTACGAAACGGGGGCAGTACCCCTCTTGTCACTGGGGTGGTACCTTTAGTCAGGGAACATAACTGTACCATAATCTACTGAAATGATATTTTCTAAGTTTTATTGACTCCACACACTCTGTCTCGTCTCCAAGCTTTTTATTTTATTGTTCTGTTTCAAAACATAAGGTTATGAAAAGGTACAAATGCTTACTTTTCACCTGAAAAACTTACTTAAGGTACACAACTGGACCTGAAAAGCACTGTTGTACCTATGAGGGTACATTGTTTGTAGAGGTAGCTTTTCTGCTTGTTTTTCACTGAGTTTTGATATTTATGGCCCTAATTAAAGACCTAGCTTTAGTGGACATGGCTTGTCACTGATGAAATATATGACATCAGCACAATTATTGCCAATAGTAAGTACACTGAAAGACAAACCTGTACTGATGTAATATATTTTATTCATGTGGAACTTAAGTACACATTTTAATCAAGTAAATTTTTTCAGTGTAGCAAATTAGATGTAAAAAAAAATATGTATGCTTTATTTTATTCAGTATTTACTTACACTTTTGATTATTGCTTCTTAGTAACTCAATTTGAAAAACTACCCTTACCTCATCTGCCAAGAGCGAGAGTTCACTGGTGTCGGCAGCGTCATAGTCGTACAGGACTTTAGCTTTGCGTGTACCGCTGGCAGGCGGCTGCACCTCCTCAATCTGAAGGGGCTCCGTGTCTGGGCTTAAAGAGTTTATGGGCAAAGCAGAGGAGGGGTCAGCAGAGGGGCTTCTGACAGATCTAGGGTTCACCACGAATGAATTTGGATACCTTCTGAAAGACAGAAAGACAAAACAAAGTTATAAATCAGATATCATTCCCACTGAGCACACTTACAAGATTAAACTGTTAGTTTGGGAAAGTAACTCCATTTTCAAGGTGTACTCACACATCTCCGTTAGCACTGTGAGCGCAAGGGAAAAGTAAGAAAGCCATAAATTACACACCAAGAGGTCTTTACAAACAGCACATCCATCTCTAGTTCTCTGTCTGTTCAATGTCTTGGTTTGAGAGTAAAACCTGTAGAATTCCCACCTGGACAGTTCTTTCTGTAGTTCCTGCATAAAGTGGTGACACTGGCTGTAATAAGTGGCCTGGGCTTCAACAAACTCATGTAGACATCGCAAGTGATTCACCTAAGTAGACAAACGGTGGAAAGTTACCACTGTGTTTACTGTGCAATGTGGAAAATACTTTTAGAGAGATGGTCACACCACTTTAATAATAATAAAAAGCCTAAAGAAATTTTTCACCAAAGTTAATTAACTGAAAATAAATATTTGACTTGGCCTGAGCTTCTGTTTTATGTTTTATATTTACTATGCCTACAACTAACCAACAGACCAGCCAATTTCTTAGAATAACAGAAAAAAGGAATATACATCCGTAATGGATTAAGCAGGAGCATTTTTGGATCATTCTAGCTAATTGGTTCAAAGTTAAAATTGAAAAGAAATACTGAAAACAGTATACCGTGATGAAGACATATAACAATACTGCTTTTCAGTTTTATATTTTCATTTTTTTACACATTTTTTTTTTACAATATTTTTATTTGGTAAATAATGGACATTATCTTCATGATAAGTGGTCCCTTTTGCCAAGCAAAGCCATTCTAATCTATTCTATAGTATTCTATTTTGTGTATTTTACAGATATCTAGGGCCTACCAGTTAACTGCAATGTATGTAATCTACTTGGTGCTTCAGATAGTTTTGAAAGAACAGTTTAAAATCCATACAAATTAAATAAAACAGTAGTTTGCCTTTCTGAACATGTGATTTCTGTCTGGTTAGCAATATTGTGTAAGATTCTTTTAGAAAGAAAAAAAATAAAACAGGCCAATAAAAACAAGCTATGTCAGGTTTGTAAGGCATTCTGGCAGAAGCACTGCGAAGTTAATGCTAACTTATTAATTTTGTTGATGTTAACTTAAATATCATCTGATACCAGGAGATATTTGCACAATATCACGATATTGAATTTTATCAATACTGCCAAGCCCTAGTAAAAATTCCAACAACTTGCACGAAAGCAGTGGCAGCTGACATTTTGAAAAAACAGGTTCTACGACCTCAGTATTCCATGCACAAATCCACTTTTTTTGGTGAATTCATTAATGATCACAGAATCATGGAAACCCAAACATTCTAACTGTTGACTGTGTGGCCAAAAGGGAAAGAGGTTTACAGGTTCACTATTTGGCCCAGCCGTGGCTTTAGCTACACCTGTTATGGGTGTATCATGAGGGTGGAAAAATGCAGGATGTAAACATGACTCACATGTGTGCTACTAATGCCCTCCAGCAGCAGCCTTGTGACCTCAGCTTGTCGGTCAAATTCTGTCTGAGCCACCCTCAACTCCTGCTCTGCCTGCCGAGAAACACACAAACAAAAACAGAAAAATAAACACATCTGTAATTAAAACATACACAGAGGTGCAGAATAGGAGGGAAATCAAGAGATACTTGATCAAGATAAAATTAACATTATGGTTAAAAAAGTGGTCATACAGAACAATGTAACTACACATTACCTACGGCTGTATGAAGAGCAGTTACACTGTTATAAATATGGAAATGATGCCTTAAAATGATGTGTGAAAGTACATGTCTAAATCAGTCAACTTATTTTTATTTATTTATTTATTTATTTATTTGTTTATATTTACAAAGTAAAAGGAATGCAGTCTGTCTGCTGTAACTTTCAGATTGACTCTGCAGATCTCAAGGGCAATTTTCTAGGGATCACATCTTTTGAAATTTACCAGGGGTTAGATTCAGAAAGGCAACAACTTTTGAAAATTATTGCAATTAGCTCAAATAATTGTTAATGGTGATTAATAATTGTGACAGTCAGGATTTGCAGCCATATTTTTTTAACATTTAGCACCTGTAGTCAAATGTTTGGACACCTCTGGTCAAATGACATGTTTTCTTGGTTTAAAGTAAAAATATCTTAACACATAATTGCTGTGTATTTGCTGAATGTAACACATTGGGGGAAAAACATAAAATTTGCAAAAGTGAAACTGTGAAACAAAAATTAGCAGAAAAATGTCATAATTAAGTGAGTTCTCTTTTTTCACCTAAAATACCAACAAATTGTGTTTTGACACTATAATTAAAACTGTTATTATATGTAATTATTAATCACCTTATAACAATTATTTGAGCTGATTGCAATTATTTTCAACAGCTGTTACCTTTCACAATCATGTGTTTACATCACAACAAACAGAATGTGAAATAAATGCGTTTCAACAGTTGGACTAATGCAATGCACACATGTAAATAAAAGAAAGTAGACAATGTATTTATTGGGATAAAACAACGAAAACAACCAAAGTTCTATCTTATGGCTGGTGCTCCACCTTTAGAGAGTAATGTGATGTTTGTTTATCTGAGCTTAAGCTGTTTTTGTCATCAGTAAGGATCTACTAAGTATCAACAGTAATACAGCTAACAAGCTTATTCTTTAATAACTACTCACAATTAACAAGAAAAGACAACGAATCTGCGAATTGCTATATTTTTATGGTAATTCCCTGTCAGCTAAAATGTCATGATTGCGACAGTCCTACTGTATTAAGAGCACTGTGAAATAAAATGTTCTGATACTTACTTTCTCCACCTCCTCGCTCCAGAGCTGATCAGCAAACATGGAAAAGAAAAACACAAAGATCAATGTTATCAAACAGGAGCTGACATTTAAACACAGAGGCGTTGACAACAGCTCTGTTTAAGCACACACTGCCTCACCCCGATTAAGAAAGTGAAGCCACTGGTTAGTGGGGTAGATGTCACAGTGCAAAGGACGACACAATCTCTGATGCCACAAATGTCAGAGGAAGACTATGACCGACACCAGACCCACAAGAACCACCCACAAGCCTACAAACCTATTTGTACATTAACATTTGTACAATTTCCATTTATTTGCTCAGTTGAATGTATTGGAAAAAAATAAAACATGAAATATAAAAGGTGCCACATTTGCACAGGCCACATTTTACACTTCAATTTGTTTCCAAAATGTAAAACTGAGCAAATATGGGCTGGAGGTTAGGGAACCAGCCCTGTGACAGGAAGGTCGCTGGTTCAATCCCTGAGCTGACAGTACGTGACTGAAGTGCCCTTGAGCAAGGCACCTAACCCCAACTGCTCCCCAGGTGCAGCAGATAGGGCTGCCCACTGCTCCGGGCAAGTGTGCTCCCTGCCCCCTAGTGTGTGTGCATTCACTGGAGTGTATGTGGTGTTTCACTGCACGGATGGGTTAAATGCGGAGGTGAAATTTCCCCATTGTGGGACTGATAAGGGCCCCTTAATCTTAATTAATTGTGTGTTGAAATGTGTAGAAGTGTGCTCTCTGTAAAGGATGTGTAACTTGTTTTCACTTAGAAAATTAACAAAACATGTAATGTGATCAGGGGTGCCTAAACTTGTGCATACGCTTGCAATATCTGAGTCACACACGAGTCATATTAAGAGACTGACTGACACTTGACTTCTGTTCTCAGCAGACCATATTAAAAACAGAATTTAAACAGATTAAAAACAGAATCACATCTAGAACCAAATCAATTCTGTCCTGTGGGGCAGTGGTGTTGGAGTAGTTTGAACATGGCAGACTACTTTTAGATGAACTACTGAGTTATTGAACTATATGAACTAAGTAGATATTTTTAAAGTTTAGTAGTTTTTGAAGAAGAAATATTGGACCTTTTTCGGTATCAGTCGATCCACAAAATTTCAGTACTGGTATCAGTATCAAAAAGGAAAATGTGGTATCCTAACTTTGCAAATCTACATCTAGGGTATGCTGAAAAGTAAAAAATTCAAAGCCATTGATCAATTTTTTAAACACTTGTTAATTCACAAAAGGTACAGATGATATTTTATACTGTACCAAGGGGATTTGACATTATTACAGGGGTTTCATGAGTTTTTGAATTCTAGCACTGGACATTTAGAATTTACTTAGTATAAAGAGTAAATTGTTTTTACTGAAACTTTAGCCTCTGTGTGTGCTTGGACCACTAGATGTGGCAGATGAGTAAATGAGATTGCTCCTCTAATCAGTGCCACTTGTTTTTGATTTGACAGCTTTTAAAAATAGTCTGCTTTAGTGTTGTCTTCTACATCTGACGAAGGCCTCACATGTGGGCTGAAACATTATGTTATTCTTTAACTAAATAAAGTTACCCTTTCACTGTGTGTAGAGTGAAGGCTGAATCTTTTTACTGATTAGGATAGAAAAACTCAAATATCTCAATTCTTTTACGTACATCATTTGACTCCATTTCTTGCCCCCTAAATAGCACACAGGCCTAAAACTAATGTCAAATTAGTACATGGTATATTCCTGTAGTCACCAAATAAGTGTGCTGCTCCCTCTGCCTAACCCAGACCTGTCATGGGACCAAGCATGAAGAACTGATACAAGTACTAAATACTGTGCAGCAGCGCCTGAATGAATCAGCAACTCCCATCTGTTCAGTGCTTTCATCAGCTATGGAAGAAAATCCAGCTATGGAAGAAAATCTAATTTGGCTGTGAAATCTCCCCATTTACTGTAAACACTTCTAAATTATGACCTTAAGTTTCAAAAACCACAGCTTGACAGATGCAAAGCTATTCACGTACTACAGTACAGTCTGCAGTGGATGCAGTGTGAAAAAAATAAAAGCTGTACTGGCATTGAAAAACGCATGCTAGTTGGCAAACCCTGTTATCAATGACTGTTTTATTGTAGGTGGTTCAGATTTTAAAAAGCACTGTGTGGTTTTAAAATAACACACCATCAGGTTCAAGGCCAAAACATACATAAAACACTGGACTACCTTTCTGACCTCTTTTTTTGAAACCGATCTCTGTAATATGTATTATTGTGCAGAGCATGTGTAAGAGGGCAGTGTGAGTTAGAGTCACTCACGGCTGAGGCGCTGGCAGACAGCACATAATTACGTGGTCTGGTCTCCTGGAAGTCTGGCACCGCCTAGAACAAGAGAGGAACACAGCTTTGTAAAAAAAAGGCAAAAGGCAACAAGGCAAGACAATCAAGCAAGTTATCTGAAACACATGCCCAGTATCAAAAATTATCCTTGTGATCACCCAAGGAATGCTTTGCCATTTAGAGAATCTACAATTTAAACACACGAGCTGTTGAATATTAACCCTTAGAAGTTGAGTTATTACTTTCGTTTTGCTATAGACTACTATTCAAATCAGCTGTAGGCACAGTCTATAGTAAAATAAGCTCCATTTAAGGCAGTTCCATTATGATTGGCTATCCGTACGCTCATGTGAATGAACATCTGTGCAGCAGGCTTCATTAGTCTGACAGAAAACACTACAACTACATTTACATGCACACCAAAGGACTGATATTAGTCTAAGACTTACAGTCTTAGACTTACAAGACTTACAGTCTTAACTAGGTTACAATACGTGGCCAAAACTGTCTTTATATACTGTAGCATGAACATTACCCTTCACTGGAACTAAATGGCCAAGCCCAAACCCTGAAAAGCAGCCCCAGACCATTATCTCTCCTCCACCAAACTTTACTATTGGCACTATGCATTCCAGTAGGTAGCATTCTCCTGGCATCTGCCAAACCCAGATTTATTGATCATTGTGCTGGATAGTGAAGCACAATTCATCACTCCAGAGAACATGTGGCAACATGCTCCAGCTGATGCTTGCCATTGCACATAATGATCTGATTGATTTTTTCATGCTACACGCTTCAGCAATCAGAGGCCCCACTCTGTAAGTTTGCATGGCCTGGACTTTACGTGGTCTGCTCTGTTTGAGTTGTTGCTCCTAAACACTTCCATTTTGCAATAATAGCACATACAGTTGACCAGGGCAAACTTAGTAAGGCACAAATTTCACAAACTGACTTGTGGCACAGTAAACAATTACACAGTAAATTACATTTACATTCAATTTACATTCTCTGTCAACAGACAGACAGGCTAACAACTGTTTTCACCTGAATATCAAGAAATGACAAATGACAGTGTCGAGAAACAACAGTGCCTTTTCATCAACTTCAAATCATAATAAAATATCTCCTTATAAACACCTATTTAGAATATTTTAAAAGTTTAGAATTTCAGCTTGTTTCAGGGAGCTACGAGTGAGAAATAATTAATAGCAAAATACACCATGCTTTTGTCAGTGGGGGATAACTGCAATTTCTAAGGATTAATACAGATGTTCATTAATATTTCAGTGAATATTCAGGTATGAAGATAAGTATGCATGCCTTTAAGATTGAGTGTAAGAATATTTGGATGATAATCTTGACTGTAAAGTATGCATTCACATAAGAACATGTGAATGTGAAATGCCATGCATCTGTGAACCATGCCTCAAAAAGCTCAAAGATCAGAGTGTCATTTAAGATGTATGTTCCCTTATCGGAAAGTAATTAATGGTTTAATTGAACCGAAATTTACAATTACGACAAGCTCCCTTTTCTCACATCTGACCTTTAAACTTTATGAGCCAAAAAAAATAAATAAAAATTAACCCATGTAAACATGCTCCCTGCAGTCTCTCTTCAATATTTCATGTAATTCACATTAACCTGTAGTGGAACCCTCATGTCTTTTTAGGCCTCCAGAGAAAAAAAAAAATGTATAATTTTTAGAATTTTTTCTTTAATCTGATCATAATGCTTGCTGTTTTACAACTCTGCAAGTATTTTAGTCACACTCTCATTTCTTTTATTTCCATTATACTCCATATATCCTCCATATACACTCTATGTAACCAAACATGAATTTTTTCCCAGTGGTTTATAAGTAGATACAGCCAATAAGATCCTCCATAGGTTGGGCCTACAGGACATGTTAGATTAGTCATAAACATTATTACATACTGAGAAGGTAATAAACCAGTCACGTTTTGATGTACAGGTGGGACCAATTTTGGGACAAAAATGCCACTACACACCTCTTGAAAAACCTAAATACGTCAATGACTGTGAATACAAGCTGTATTTTAACCAGGTTTTAGTCCCAATAGGAAATGAAAATCAGCAGTAGCTCTATGCCAGAGTCACTGTAAAACTGCAACATACAAACCAAAATGTATGGTAATGTTACAAGCTTCAAATAACAATGCAGTCTTTTACAGGCTTTAAATGGAAATTTACTCTACAAAGGCTAAAAAGTTCATGTGCATTAGCTTAGAGCTAACGTAATATTACACATCCTATTCTGTGCTAGCAGAAATTATTGTAGAGTTGTGGAGTCTCATTTTTTTAACCTAGTTTAGACATTTACGGCACTAACTAAAGGCCTAGCTCTAATAGTCACACTGTGGCAATGATATATACAGTACACTGCATAGTCTACAATTTCACATACGTATGAGTAAATATTCATTGGTTATCGCGTGATTGAATTAGTGTCATCAATCTTCAGCTTTAGTTGTGTAGTCACTCAGACTGCTCTGCTGATTTAATTGATGTGCAGCTCCTGGCCACTGGAGACATACAAGTGGAATAATTAGACTGAGTTTGTCTTAGCAACCATTTACCTGGCATCTGTGTTAAGACAACCTTGTGGCTGAAGCACAAACACTGCAGCCTGAGATTACTGTTAAATGCCTACAAAACTGAAAGCAATCATTCTGTGTATTTCACTAAAATTGAATCGACTGCATCAATTATTCTCACATAGAAAATGGAAAATCCATCTACGTATTGAATTCCCATCAAAAAAAAAAGCAAGTAGGATGCAGGAAAAATCAATATAACAGAATAGGATTAGGTATTAAAATGAATAAAGAAAGAGAGAGATGCTGACTCAAAAGGAAAATTCACCCCAATACTCACTTCTCCCTCACACTGCAAGAGTTGGAACAAAGACAGAAGGTTAGAGCAGAATTAATAGCGGTCAGTGGAACAGAGAGAGAAAAGAGCAGACTGAAGAACTGAGGGAAGAAGCAAAATACAGGAAAACAAAGGAGCTTACAGCTGCTTTAGCTTCTGCTGCTTTGGCCTTCTTTAGCCTGGCTTTACAGGCATCTAAATCTAGTCGCCGGTTCTCCAGGAGCCGCCTCTCTTTCTGTAAGGAGGAGACGAGAGAGAGCAAGAGAGAGAGAGACAGAGAGAGAGAGAGCACACACAACGATAACATTGTTCACTTGCTCTTTACCCAAGGCTCACACTTTGCAGGCTAAACAAAGTCACTGATATGAAACAAAGCCTCCTGACATTTTTGGTAAGACAGAGCCACAGTAGAGGTGGGCCATATTCCAAATATATCCATTATATTCATATCACAGTGCCAGACAATAGTTCGCTACATTTTATGGGCATTATATCAGTATCATATCATGATAATTTATATATAGTTTCTATTTATTTCCTGAATTTAACATATTGAAAAAAAATACAAGAAAAAATGTGGCATGTGCAAAAGTTATTGCACCTATTATTATTTAAATATGTTGAATTCAGCAAAAAAGTAGAAACTGTGTACAAAAAAATCTGTGCAAAAATAACACTGTTCAAAAGTCAGAGATCACACTTTATTTATTAAATATTCCAGTCAAGAAATGACCATTAAAGGATTAGATACAACTCAATGCTATGGGTCTAATAGGACATGTAGCTGACAGGAATGTTTTCTGCTTTTTCCTGATGCTGAAAGATAAATGAAGGATGGTCTCTGACTTTTGTCCAGTACTGTACAAATATGTAATAAAAAAATCACAATGCATCACTTGACATAATCAAATATGTCACTAAAACATTGCTAAAACTATATCAAGGTATTTCAATATCACAGCATTAAGCAACAATATTTAAATACAGCATGTGTACTTGGCTGACACACTATTTCCATCATCACAAAATCGGTTACAACAGAAAAAAATAAGACAACTGCTCGTGCGTTAGGAGTGAATAACGACTGATTATGATCGTGCACCCCTAATTATAACCAATAAAACTGAAATATACAAAACCATTACTTCACTCATCTAAGGTAAGAAGACCCCCAGACTTACTGTTATGGTCCTCCAGTCCCCCTCCAGAAAGTTCCGCAGTGGTGTGAGGAAGCTAATGGACGACGTCTGCAGAAACTCTCGTTCTGCTCCTCCCAGTCTCCTCTGGCAATCGCCCACCTGAATCAAGGTACTTCCTACAGAGATAAGACAAGGAATTAACAACAACCAACGTGTCTTTCTTAATTGGTAAATGCTCAGCCTTTACACTGTGAACTGATGTTTTCTACCAGATCTTTGTATTGAACTGTGATGGTACTTCTGTAAAAAGACCTAGACATGCACTAGGCATTTCCTCTTTCGTTCACACTGACTCATTGGATTATGAATAATTTTGAGACTAAATTCTCATTCTCCAGACCCATTTTAAGAAGGAAAGTGTATTCAGCTTCAAAGCTCAAATATTGTTTTTAAAAGTAGGATTATGGTCATATATATATACACACACACATATACTTTGCATAGCACATAATACCCCACTAATAATCTGAGATAAAGTATTGTCGTTTGAGTTACAGTTGATGCTAATTACAGTTATAGTCTGTGCCAATTGTGCAATGTGCAAGCCTTCACCTTCCAGCTTGCTAGATAGCATTGTGTGATGGAGACAATGACTAAAGTGTGGAGAAAACTCGTCTTAACAGTACACATTAAACAATGGTCAGTGTGTTGTGAGTATAAACTATAAAACGAAAGCAGCCAGTGGCCATAGAAGTAATAAAAGCCCTGTCATGCATACAGTGCAAGCAAAATGCAAAATGCTCCTTCTTTTTTAAAAAACGTGACCAGAATTTTGATTTAGGATCACCTGAATAGCCTACCATTTGATAATGCGTGATCCATGCCACTGGTCTCGAATTGCTACTATATTTGCATTATGAGAAAATTAGCCTACTGGCTCATTGTGCATATCACAAGAAGCCTAACAAACTTTCTAAATAACTAAACTGCACAGATGTCAAGTCTAACGGTTTAGAACTAGTAAGGTAAGAACAGTTGCAACATCTATAATCTTTTTTGTCTTTGCGTAGGTTGACCTGGTCAACACACTACTAACAAGGTGTGGGCTGTGAAGCAATATTCAGTGACAGGCTTTAAGTTTAAAAAGGCTTTAAGTTTAAAGCAGTTACTTTAAACTATAACACCTAGTTTACACCTAGGTTACCTGTTACAAGCCTCTACTCTCCATGTTTAAACAGTAATATATGAATATGCACCGACTTTCTTGTCACACATTCATGAACCCCCACGTCCTGAATGATGAAAAAAAAAAACATGAAATGCAATTTGACCAGTCACATAGCCATAAACGCGATCTGAATCCAATTCAAAATCACCTACAAAGTGGGCTTAAATCTATTTGGTAAAAGTCAGTTATTTATCTATTTCCTTGCAAGACTGCCAATAGTTTACAGTATAAGTGCATCTTTTCCTGGACAGTGCCTTTCAATTTAATTGGCTTTCAGCACACTGAGTTTACATAAGCACAGCACTATGCATGACTATCTAACAACACAATACCCACATTTTCAAGAAAAAAGCTTGATCACTTACACTACCTTAGCCATGGAAACAACTACAAGCTGAGACTAGGTTGGAGTCTCATATCCACATCTTCACATTCTAAAGAGTTATCTGTGAGGCACACCAAAGGATGGACTACATTTCCATTGACAGACACCAGAGACCAAAATAAAACAACCACTCAGCCACAAATCATTAATGAGCCATTTACTACTGCTAAGTGCACTTCAGCTTGAGAGAACAGGCAAACTAAATCAGCACTGTAGACTATTTTGTCTTTGTCTGTCATCATTTAGGTCATTTTGAATATGATAATACAATTATCTGTAAGTGTAACATGTTTCCAGTTGATATGATGAAGAAAAGCAATATATTGGTTTTTTCCTGACAATTCTCATTAGTGCAACGAATGGCAATGTTGTCCCTTTAAGCATGCAGGATTATGTATACAGTGTAACAGAAACCTCTGTCCTATTTTGTTTTCTACTACATGTCAAGCAGATACGTTCTAGAATTTTATGCATAAACCAGGATAATAAGGACATTTCAAATTCCTTATATGATTCCATATATGATAACAGCACTTTTTTACCGTGCATGTAATATGCTCCCAAGTAACAACTAAGTAATAACAAGGTAAAAACCAAGTAAGGTCGGTCTACTCTAAGCAGCTGGAATTACTTTTTTGGCATAAGTGATACCAATATTAAAAACATTTAAAAGAAACGAGAGATGTGTCATTGTGAATAACATCACGATATGATTTGGTCACAAGCATAAGCTGAAGAGTAAATACCAACACAGCCTATAACAAGCAAAAATATACTGATGACTTTTGACTTTCTAAAAAGTGACTGGTCACTGTCTAATCAGTGCTGCCAGAGGCCTGGCTGGATAATGCTGGCAAGTGCAAGGCAGCAGAATTGAATTGGCATGTGACCTCTGAATAAAGCACTATTGATCCATCAGGCAGCGGAGAGAAAGAGCAGGCAATGAGAGCTACTGCTCCGACTGCATTCTGACTGCCTGGAGGAAAGAACAGAGCAACAAAGACACACAAATCAATCTGATCACATTCACAAAATCCCACACGCTCTGCTTTCACTATGTGTAGAAACACTGGACCTTACAGAAGCGCACAGCTGTATCAGTGACAGCCAGTGTGGTCCTATCTTACCATTTTTGTCCTCATTTAATTTCTAATCTCTAGGTACTTAAGTACTGTATTCATTTTTCATGCTTCCATGTACATATTAATCACACTGGAAACAGTAAATGAGCCGCTCCAGGCTAACAGAAAGCACTGATTATCTTTGTTCAATCACCAAACATCATATCCGCATTCTAAAGATCACTGTCATTGCAACATTTCTTTTGCAAAATACTCATATTGCAAAGGTGGGCAATATGCTAATGAGTTGCTGACCAGGGGTGTAACTATATTTTCGGTAAAGATTCTATTTGATTTTCAATATTTTATGCATTAAACTAAACAGACTTGTTTGGCTCTTACAGGCCTGCATATCTGCGAAATTGTTTTAAATTTTCAGTTGTGCAATACTTTATTGAAATTGGTACCCGTACAATCATATCTGATCGTAAAATGAGACATTTTTTATTCCGTTATTCATCAATTTTTGCCACATCTGTACGATCAAATTCACATGTGGTGGTAGTGTGCGTAAATTTGAGCAAACAGCATCCAAATATCTTATCAATATCATCTATGTAATACTAATAATAAGATGCACTCATTTATCATGCACACTGGTACAAACAAATGCTGCAACTATTCCATGTTCCACTTAAAAACATTTTACACTGTGATTTTGTTTTATACTACTGACACCACCCAAAAAATAAACAGTACAAAACACAGCTACCGCAGACGCATCTCGTCGCTGCAATAAAACAGCGTTTAATATGCTATTATAGGAAAATAATGACACTACACAATCATATCATTCTACTGTTCGTCAAAAAAAGAAATTTTGTTAATTTCACACTTTAATCTATCCAGTTATTGTAATTTTGACACTATAAAGTTTAGTCAGCAGGTGCAGCAGTACACTAACAGTACAATCTCAAACTGTGCCAACAAGCACAGCCATTGGCTCATGAATAACTGAGCTAATGAATGCTGTTGTTTTATTGGTTCCCTACCAAAACATCTGCAAGAATTAGGGCTTTGTTTAAATTACATGTAAATAAGTGGGCTGATGCCTGAACCTAGGCTCATTCACTCAAATGTCTGCCTGTTTTCACATCGTACGAAAGTTGTTATGTCATTAAAGGTGATTTTTTCACACAACTTTCATGAATAAAGGCCGGTATGTAGCACTATAAGTGTATTTAATGTTTTCCACATCATGTCGCTAACCAAAAAACTTATTTAAGTAAAATCCACATGCTGACGCAAGGTGCAAACAGGCCCTCAGATTAAGATAGCCTGATCTCCCCCTAAGTGGTTATAAAATTATCCATACAGTCTGATTTTTGCACTTTGAATAAATAAAAACATCCAATACTTTGTAATGTGAGGGAATATTGCTTACTAAATTTGCAAAAGCTAAAAAAAATTGCAAAAAGTAAAACAAATTGGTAGAGAAACAAAGCAAAAAAAAGCATTGAAAACAATAAAAAAAAATCACTCAAGTGACGACTGCATTCTGTATACCACAATGTGATCAAATGATTCAGAAAAACAGTTCTAGTGTCCGCATCTGACTCTCATTAGCCTATTTTTAGCTCAGTTTGTCGACTCTTACCATAGGGTGTTCCTGGTCCAAACTCTTTGGCTGCCTCAAGCATATACTGCCCCAGTATTTCTCCATTGGTGGCTCGATATGGGACTTTCCGATCAAGTTTTTCATAAAGGAATTCCTCAATTCTGGCACCTAGTAGAAAAACATAAAGTTAAAACCCATTAGGGAAAAGAAAGGAGCCATAATTTAAAATATACAGGCATACCTTGTAATTCAACTAAAGACATTTAAAAAAAATCCTCTTCTCTCAAGACACAGAGCTGCTTCAAGTACTTCATGTGCTCTTAAATGAACTCAAAAGGTACCACATACATACATTTGTGATACTACAGTTTGTTCAGACATGACTGTAGTAACTGTAACTATAGTACTTGCTATAGTAGCAAAAGTCATTTACGTTCAGTCAAAACGACCAGGAAAAAAAGAAAAAACATATATGTAACAGGAAATTAAACAAAATCCCCAACAACTACACAGTCAGATAAAAGATTCTGTTCATGTACATTTTTGTTTCAGAGACTTGCTTTCAGTTTTCCAAGAAATCTGCAGGGATATTTTTCTATACCTCCAAAGTTCAGTCTTAGAAGTTGAATTTTCTATTTCTCATGATTCAGTTAATCCCAAACACATTCAAAGGTGTTGAGCTGTGAACTCTGGGTGGTCAGTCCATTGATCTGAGAACATCAGTAGCTTCTTTGTTTGATTTTCTTCTTTTTATGTATTTTCTTTTCTCAGTAATGGCTTCTTGACAGCTACACATCCTTTCAGATCCACACAGTAGATGGATGGACAGAAATACCTGTAGGTTGTTTCAGATCTGAAGCGAGAGTGGAGCTTGACTTTCTCCTCTCTCTCAGCAATCAAAGCTTTAAGTGGTATCCAATGGTGACAGTTTTAGTGGTCTACCAGGTCTTGCGTGGTTGTTAGGAGTCCCATATTCTCTATATCTTTTATTAATTTTTTGAACTCCAGTTTTGGAAACGCTTTCCTTCACTGTGCACATGGTTTATCTTATATCTAATCTCTTCAAAAATATCTCCTGAAATAAAAGAAGGGTGGTCCTTGACTTTTGCACAGCACTGTATAAAAATAATAAAACAGAACCATACTTCTTGCTTCTTATGTATAAAATCACTTAATGCCAGACAGATAATTATCTGAAATCATCTGCTTGAGATTAATAAGATAACAAGTTCCCTCAATATAACCGCAGTAACCGATCTCTCATTTAAAACTTACCTCTTACTCATTTTTTTCTCAAACCACGTAAGTACAGAACTACAGTTCTATGAAAAAGTATTTCGTTAACTCCATTTTTGAATGTTCATCACACTTAACACTTACTTTCAGGTCTTCAAACAAAATTTTATATAAGATAAAGACAAACTGTGTAAGCACAAAATACAGTTTTTAAACAATCATTTCATTTACTGAAGGAGCAAAAGTTATCCAACACCCACTGGCCCTGTGTGAAAAAGTAATTGTCTTTGGTTACGCAATCAACCAATTAACCAGATGTAGCCGATGATCAATTCAATTGGGGTCAATTACACTAGACACACGGCTTGATTACTGCCAGCCCTGTTGAATGTGAAGTAGGCTAAAGGGCCTCAACAAGCAGCACACTAAGCCGTGACTAAAAGAAAATCTGTAAGAGAAAAAAACCTAATGAAAAATATTAGTCTAGAAAGGACTACAAGCCATTTCTAATGTTCTGGGACTCACAGTGAACCACAGTGAGGGCCATTATCTCCAATGAAGAAAAGCTGGCACAGTGGTGAATCTTCCCAGTACTGTCCAGCCTACTAAAATTCCTCTGAAAACACAGCAATGACTCATCCAGGAAGTTACAAAACAAGCCAAATGAAACATCTAAGAAACGGCAAGCCTCACTCGCCTCAGATAAAGTCAGCATTCATTATTCCACCCTTAGAAAGAGACTGGGCAAAACTGGTATCCATGGTAGAGCTGCAAGGAAAAAATAACAAACGACTAACAAAAAGGAACATAAAGGCTGGCCTCACATTTGCCAAAAAGTTATTTGATGACCCCCAAGCCTTTTGGATTAATGTTCTGTGGACTGTTGAGTTGAAAGTTTTTGGAAGACTGGGATCCTGTTACATCTGGCATAAAGCTAACACAGCATTCAACAACAAGAACATGATACCAACAGTGCAGCATGGTGGTGGAAGTATGATGACGAGGAGAAGTGACCTGCCATAATTGACGCAAACCATGAATTCTGTTCTCCATCATAAAATCCTGCAGAAAAATGTCCAGTCATAAATCTGTGATCTAAAGATCAAGAGTAATTGCAGCAAGACAATGATCTGAAGCATGAGCAAGACAAAGTGATAGAAACTTAAACGTGCAGTTCACGTCCAAAAGCCCTCCAATGTGGCTGAATAAAAGCAATTCTGCAAAGGAGAGTGGGCTAAAATTCCTCCCCAGCAATGTGAAAGACTGATCTCCAGTTATAATCAGGAACCTGGTGGCAGTTTGGTTGGAGCTATTGCTGCTAAAGGTGGCACAACTAGTAATTAAGTTAAGGGAGAATTTTTTTTCATACAGGTGATATAGGTGTTGCAAACTTTTTCACTTCAGTAAATGAAAAGATCATTCAAAACATTTTGTGTTTTCTCATTTTCTCATTGTCATATTTTATATTTTGTATGAAGATCTGAAACCATTAAGTAAGTATAACAAATATTCAAAAATAGAGGAAATCAGGAAGGGGAACTACTTTTTCACAGAACTGTATGTGAACCTCTTCTGGCATCATGATGTTGCTAACTCTAAGGCGCAGCTTGATTCAATCACAACACAAAAAGCCCTCAACTAATTAACTAAATAACTACAAACACAAAAATATTCATCCAAAAGGATAAATCAAATCTAGATGTCAAGATACAAACATTTGGACTCGGATCAAGCAATGACAGTCTGAGTGATGATATCATGCTAAAACATGTCATACACATATATAGGGCCTGATTCACTACAGCTTTAGCATATCCAAAAGTATTCAGAAACAAGACTAGATCAGCCCAATCAGGTCCAGTGAACCACTCTAACATCGCCGTCCAAAACATGTATCTCCAAAATGGTAACTTTACATATGTTGCACTTTTAATGTAAGTTAATGTAAAGAAGTTGTATTCAGAACGATTTTGGATCATTTCTGTTGGTCTATTCATCATATAATTTTCACACAATGCAAGGACAGGCACCATGTTTAAATGTTGTAAAAAAAATAATAAAATTTGAAGAAAAATTAAGACTTTTTTTGGACAACGACAATATACTTGTGCTTTGATTAACTATGTGCTTTTCATATCTAACAGCACCAGTAAATCCGGCCCAAAGATGGAACAATGTGTCCCAACAAAGTGAATGTGAATCAGAAGATCGGAGAGTCTGATGCTGAGCTTTCATTTTGAAAAAGCATCAATTCAATTTCAATAATATGGACTAGAGCTGTCACTATTGATTGTATCAGTAATCAAGTAATCTACTCACTACTTTGACGAGTTTTCAGAGTAGATCAGTTCAATCGACAATAAAAAACCATGCAAAGTCTTTTTAAAGGCTCCAGAATACCTTACTGGTAAACATACATTAGGAAATACCAGATTTTTATAAATGCAATATAAATATATACTGCATATAAATGGCTACAAATATACAATGCATGTACATGGCTGTGTTTACCATGTTCTGTTTTTACTGTAAAAGAGAGCAGTAGGAGAATTTAAGATATGCCTTTTCATCATGCAAACTGAGAAGGTACATTTTAACCAATAATTGTTTAAACTAAGTTTAACTGATTAATTGTGACAGTCCTAATATGGACTTATGACATGACCAGACAGACATTGCTGAGAGGAATGCTGTAGATGTCTGGACAACACAATGCGACGACTGAGTGCTCACTAGCCCTCAGACAAACACATGGTGCAGGGTTCTAATTCACTCCAATAAAGTTTTTGATGAAAATCCTCCAGGACCTCATAACAAAGTACTAATGGGCCACTGATCTTCAATAAAAATGTAGTATGTCATCCTCAGGACAGCATGGATGAAGAGACAGCCCACAGTTTAGTTGGGGCTCTGTTAAAAAGCGGGTATACTTACCGGTGTGGTCAACTGTGGCATGGGAAGGGTTAGAAAGTAAGAAGTTACAAAAATGTCACTGCCCCTCTCATACATCCTATTACAGACATGAAATAGAGGACAGCAGGGTGCAACTTAACACATTTTGTTTTGTGTTAAATAATTTTCAAAAAAATATAAACAAGATATAATAGTTTTTTTTTTATTCAGCTAAATTGACCCCATAGCGTTCACTGTAAAAGGCTGAAGGACTAGACATAAAATTGACTAGAATTAACACAAAATGTATAAATATGCATCAAAATGAATCTGATTAGTGAAAGGTTAAACATAAATAATGAAAACAGCAAATAATGATAAAACTTAAATGTATTTACATGACATCTATAGAAAGTTTTTGATGAATCTGTGAATAAAAGGTTTTTATCACTTAAAAGGCCAGGGCCCACCAGCAGGCCCAAAGTTTTATTACACTCTTCTGTAACCTAAGAACAGCTCAACTGGTTTACACTGAACTCCCTGTAGTTACCGGACAACAAGCCTTAGTATGTAATAAGCTAGTGATAGCTTAGTTGTAACACTATGTTAAAACTAACCCCACCATGTGGAGGTTATATGTTAGCATGGCTAGCTCTCACTGTGAGTTAGTTACATGCCTTAAAATGTCCCTATATTACAACCAAATAGAAAGTAATTAAAATAGTTACAGTGTATATCTGATGACTTCTACATCAGATACACAACCCAGTAATTAAAAAGACTTGAAATGGTCTTTATTGTGAATACAATATAAAATAAATATTAAATATAAATATTTGTCCAATTGCAGTGCACCTTTTCAGATGATGTTGCTATGAGAATACAATAAGATGATCAACAGAACAGATTGACTCCTTAAAATCTCAGGCTTATCACATACTAAGGCTTATTATTCAGTAACTTCAATGCAAACTGGTTGAGCTATTTTTAGGTTACATTACTGTGTAATAAAGCTCAGGCCTTTTAAGGGGTTAACTACATTAAAAATCTGTGTTACATTTTACTCTGCATTAGGTTGCGCCCCACGTCCCTCTACTCTTATGAAAGGGAAAAATCACTTTATATTGAAAACTATAAACCTGGCATCCAAACCACTACAAGTTAGTGGGACTGCCTGCAGTGTGAGGAAGATAGGAGAAGGCACATAAAAATGACTTGGGCAGCCTCCTCTGCTATATAGAAGTTTACTTCTGGATTCCAAATGTAAACTCCCAAAGACAAAACTAATCCTAATCCACACTTTTGATTGCACACATTGATCAAAACTAAATGCACAGTAAGAGCAAATTTAGTTACTTACTTGGGTTTGGCTGTAGCAGAACTTCTGTCTGTCTGTAGATTTTCTCAGTCCAGTTTTTGGTGCAATCAGCTCGGGCAAGTAAACTCTCAAAATGAGCATCCAACTCAGTCTTCTCTGCCTGACCCAGTTTCTCTTCGGTATACTAGAGAGAAGACATACAGGGTCAGATTATGGAACAACAGTTTCACTTTCACCGCAAACATGATAAACAACATTAGCATGTCAGCTCTAAAATCCCTGCTAAAGAAGTTATGGGTAAATCGATACAAAAGTATTAATACTTCAAATCCTCATGTTTTTGAGAATCAATCCTAACACAAAAATACAGATACTAAACAGTAAATATCTACATTTTTTAAACATATTGTGTATATTACACTGCAAAAGTAAAAATGCAATGGTATCAAATAAATATGCACAATAGAAGCTACTTTTTCTTTCAGCCTTTGCTTCTCCTAGGGTTGACCCGAGTACCTTTGTAACAGCAGGACAGTTGTAAAACATTATATTATCTTCTCTCTGAGTGCAGGAAGCTTCAACTACATGCACATCTCCACAACAAAGACACTAGCAAAAACCTACTTTGGGAAGGGAGGCATGTTTTTAACCGCCTTACATTGCTTTTGGTTTCGACCGATCCCTGTGCACACTTAACTATGAAAAGATATACTGCTGTGATCGTTGATCTGTCTACTAAAAAGTGATATATTCTGATATATGCCAGGATGCATATTTCAGAATATATCATTCTGCCAACCACCCTATACTGCAGGGCAATCGGCGGGGACAGTTGTATTTCCGAAATGAATTAACTCCAAAGTAGTTTTACTAAGTTTAGGTGAATACAAAACATTCAGCATCATTCAATTTCCAATGACTTATATTTGTTGTTATTACTGTTTTATTATTTAATCATATGTTGGTTGTTACTGCTTTATTGTGTTTAATGTTTATACTATTCATCTTATGAATTAACAATGCAATTATTAAAAAAATGAAACAAAACGACAGAAATCTAGACTATTTCCCATAATGTGTAGAGTAATAAATGAAGCTTAAAGATTCAGTAACTCATAAAAACTTACGGAGCATCAGTTTTGTTTGAAACTCACAGAAATCTTACTTCAAAAGGAATATGTGGCTTTAGATAGGAAGAAGATCAAATTTCAAAAATACCGGTATTTTACTTGTTATTATTCTACTCCTGGTTTACAGTATAATAGTATATGAACTACATACATACGTTTTTTAATCTGAATTTGATAGTACACAGATAAACGAAACACAGATGATTTCGAAGACATTTTCACTGTTTTTCACTGCAGAAACACATGACCAAGGTGGCTTTCACAAGTGTCGTTATCAGTACTGCTATGTGGGTATTAGCTTTGGTATTACTTGGCCCAAAATCGAGAATAAAATCAACAGAATCGCCCATCCCATAAATGAAACTGCTCCGATTCTGCGTCCATCACTACGAAGTTATTATAACCTCTGGCACAGTTGCTCTCGTGATGCAGCAAATGTTGACATCCGCTAACATCGAGGTTACGTTTTCATAATCTCTTCATAACCGTAGGCAGATATTGCCACAATTACAAAGCACTAATTTGATGCACAACATAGTGTAGAAAGCTAATTGACAATTTAACGACATAATAACATCGTTATCACGTCGAGCTAATACAGCAGTCTTCATAAGAACAAACCCAGAAGAGAAGGGTCCGTTTTTAAGAGATAAAAGCGGTGAGAGTGGTGTTGTGGAGAGCTAGCGAGCTAACGTTACAGCAGCGCTCCAACTGCTGCATTCAGCCCGTAACGGACGGAAGACTGAGGAGCAGCAGAATCAACAGAGCGACGTTACCTGCACGGCCCGAGAGAAGAACACTCCGGCATCAGAGGCCAGCTTCTTCACACTAAAATCCATCGTGTCTGCGAACAAACATCAATAAACGAAGCTTCAGAAGATCCTCAGAGGCCAGCATGAAATAACAGGCAGAGTCCTCAGTCCCTCTGTATCTGTGTACAGAGTGAATCTAACTGTGTCATCGGTGCTCTCGAGAATCTACTAGTCTGCCTGATTTAAAGGGGAACGGCACTATTTTGAGCTCAACAGTCAGTAGGCCACAAACACGTCATAATCTGAGGGGAATATATTTAAAAACCCAAACAATACATTTATAGACATGTAAACATCTGCCTGCTTCGTTGAGCAGCTGAATGGTATAAATAATTATATATGATTATTCAGCCTGGACTGCTTTTAGAATGAGGCAGCCTATCAGAACAGAGGCTATTTACATGCTGCTCTGATTTAGATTGTCATAGTTGGAGTAATTTCTCTGCAGATTTTCATCCAAAGTGCCCCGATACACTTCTGAGCGCATGATCCCGTCAATGAACACAAACTCACCAACGACACTGTAACAAAAATAACCACAGACTTTGACCTTTCACCTCTGTGCTACACAGTACACAGGTTCGAATTCTTCTCAGGCTTTTTCCACATCTTCTCAGTCTATCATCTGTTTGATGTTGTGCTAAAAGTGCTCTACTCTGAAGCAAATGTCATTTTTTTAAACATTTACTGTATGTCTTGCCATAATATAAAGAAAACAGCACGTGGCTCAGTCCTCATCATTCTAACCATATGTAGTCATTACACACGCTGATTCAATCACTACAGTATTTAAAGATTGGTCCAGCACCACCAGGCAGAAGGAGATGGCCATGCTCCTGTAGTTTCTGTATGCAGTGGAAGCATAACTAGAGTGCTTTGATTTTCTTTAAAGCAATGCAAAATACAGATTTTGAGTTTACTTTGCAAGTTTACTTCCGTTCCTGTAACACTTCCTATCTTGGAGCAGTGCCACACTGGAAACTGTGCTTGCCCTTTGAACATGGTGAACTGTGCAGTTAAGGAAGTATGTCTCATATTACTGACATGAAATCCCATTAAAACTTTGAGGGCTGCACTTTTCCTTCACAAAAGTGTCTGACTTACTCAGCTGTGTGATCTTTGCTGAGCTTTGTGTAATCAAGCAGTGTAGCACATAAATACATCCAAATGGGATGCCATGTAAAATGTAAATAAAAGAGAATACAATGATGTGCAAATCATTTAGACCTTGTATTTAATTGAAAATTGTACAAAGACAACATATCAAATGTTGAAACTTAGAAAGTTTATTGTTTTTTGAAAAATATTTGCCCATTTTAAATTTCATCCTAGCAACATGTTTTTAAAAAGTTGTGACAGGGGCGACAAAGGCAAATTCATGTAATGCTAAAAAAACACCTGGTGGAACATCTCACAAATAATTAAGTTAATTGGCAACAGGTCAGTATCATGACTGGGTATAAAAAGAGTGTCTCAGAGAGTCTGATTTTTTCAGAAAAAAAGATGTGGAGGGGTTCACCACTCTATGAAAGACTGCACAGGCAAATAGTGCAACAATTCAAACATTTCAACAATTCAAATCTTTCTCAATGTAAAACAACAAAGAACTTGGGGATTTCATCATCTACAGTACATGACATCATTAAAACATTCAGAGAATCTGGAGAAATCTCTGTATGCAAGAGACAAGGCCAAAAACCAATACTGGCTGGCCATGATCTTCAGGCCTCGCTTAAAACAGACACAGTTCTGTAGTGGAAATCACTGCAGGGGCTTAGGAACATGTCAGGAAAACTACTGTGAACACAGTTCGTCACTGCATCCACAAATGCAAGTTAAAACTCTACCATGCAAAGAAGAAACTACATTTAAACAGGATCCAGAAATGCCGTCGCCTTCTCTGGGCCCGAGCTCATTTAAGATGGACTGAGACGAAGTGAAAAAGTGTCCTGTGGTCTGACAAATGAAAATTTGAAATTCTTTTTGGAAATCATGGACACTGCATCCTGCATAAAAAGAAGAGGAACCATCTGGCTTGTTATCAGCTCACAGTTCAAAAGCCAACATCCGTGATGGTGTAAGGTGCATTAGTGGACATGGGCATGGGTAACTTGCACATCTGTGAAGGCACCATTAATGCTGAACGATATATACAGGTTTTTTCTAGCAGCTCCTGCTGCCATCCAGATGACATCTTTTTCAGGGAAGGCCTTGTTTATTTCAGCAAGACAATGCCAAACCACATTCTGCTCATATACAGCATGGCACATTAGTGAAAGAGTCCAGGTGCTAAACTGGCCTGTCTGCACTCCAGACCTGTCACTCATTGAGAACCTTTGGCAAATTATGAAACAAAAAATACGACAAAGGAGAGCCTGAACTCTGAGCTGATGAAATCCTATATCAAGCAAGAATGGTAAAACATTAAACTTTAAAACACTACAGCAGTTGAGGCGGTGATGCCACACGGTGGTAAACATGCCCCTGTCCTAAAAAACAATAAAATCTCCCAATTTCAACATTTGATATGCTGTCTTTGTACTATTTCCAATCTAATATAGGGTTTACATTATTTGCACATCATTGCATTCTTTTCTTATTCACGTTTTCGGTCCCAACTTTTTTGGAAATGTGTTTGTGAATTGTATGTATCCCCTGGTTCTGGTTTATATTCAGATCAGATATGAGTGGTATGGGGGTTCAGAACATTGGGTTTACTTTAAAGGGCCCATATCTTCCATTTGTCTTGTATTTTATGTTTTCTTTTCCCTATGAGGTCCATGTGATACATTCTACATGACCATTTTCCAACCTCTCTTTATTCCTTACAAGTAAACAGATTGTTTTTGTTACTGTGCCTTTGAGACTCATACTCATATTTCAGACTCATACATTCCACTGAATTAGATCAAATTGCAGTCCCAGCACCAATAAATAAATAAATGAATGAATAAATAAACAATTAAGTACCCAGACCATAGACATTTGCAAGGATCTATTTAAACCGAAGGCATTAATTGAGTTAGTAATAAGCTAAATTTTATAAAATCATCATTTATAGGGTACTTTCTACTGGGAGGTGACCCACCCCTGCATATTAGAGCAGAAAGTGAGACTGCATTTCTGTCCCTCATGGCCACACGGTGAGCAGTTAGATCTCATTGCTTTGAAGTAAATCTGAAAATCAGTGTTTAACATTAAGAATCGTCACTACCAAAACACATATTTTCTGCAGTTTGGTAAATTTTTATGTGTGTTAATGAAAAAAAAAATGATAGTAATTTGATATGTCTTCAAAGCGGGTTTGCTAGTCTTGTACTGGCTTGTGTTTTTGAGTTATACTCAAAATTAGCTAAAATTGTCACTACAGAAACAGTCACCACCAAAACATTTAGTAAAGATTCACTGGCATTTTTATTGTTTGGTTAGAGACAAATTGGAATGTGTAAATTGTTATTTTATTAACATAAACGTAATTAGGGTATAAGATCATTCAAAGCAAAATTATTTTAGTGTAAAGTCTGTTAAGATAAAATCAGTTGAAAGTCCAAGATGTATTTTCAAATCTGACTTTAAGCCAATTCAGTAGAATAATCCATGTGTATAAATGATACTTGTCCCAAATGACTGCCTTTTATTGTATTTCATTAAGCTATACTGTGTAGACTGAAGAGTTAATGGCATGATATGAATTGTGTTCACATTGCGTCAGACTCTTCTATATTAGCAAATGGCTGTTTATAAATAATAATAAATAATAAAAATGTAAGGATCAAGTCTATGTCAAGTCTACACTGTAACTCCAAACAGTGAACCTAGAGAGGGCTCCCCAGTGAAAATACTATTCCACATTGCAATATCTAATACCAGTCTATAAGTTAGGTCCCCTAACTATGACCTGTATGCCCTCACCTCAGAATAACACAGTCATAACTTGTGTCACTCATGACTACGTTCCTCTCTTCATGCTTTCTCCTTCTCCGCTGCTGCTGAAGGACTCTACTGACCAATTTAAGCTGGGGTCTGTGCGGCCCCAAGAGATTCCGTCACCATGCTCTCAGCCAACTGAACAAACAAGAACGCAAAGGTTTATTTTCCATTTCTCCCTGAGGAGAGCTGGCTGTGGATTGGTCAGCTTGGCCAGCCAGCACTTTCCCCTCATAAAAAGAGGTATGGCAACAGACACGCAAAAAAAAAAAAAGAAAGAAAAATGAAACTTGTAAACTTAAAAAAGTAAGTAACTGGGTTAACTTTAAATGTTGAGTACATTTAAATTTCACTTATTTGAATTTCAACTAAGTTAACAAATGTAAAACACACATTATTCTTCTGTTAACGTAATACTGCAAGTGCAATGAACTCAAAATTTCAAGTTAATATGGTTACTTACTTTTTTAAGATCAAAAGCTGCTTAATTTGTTACAGTCTGGCTCACTATACTGCTGACCATGACGATTAAGAATGTCCTGCAGCTACCGGCCAAGAGAGGGCAGCTTAGAGAACACAGGTGCTGCTGTTTGTGTTTCAAGCTAGAAACTTTGACTAAAGTTAATAGGGCCCACATCCTGCTGTATAAAATGGCACGTCAGATCTGCCTAAAAAATTACTTCATGTGGTAACAAACAATTGAGCTAGTTTTATTAAACTCAAAAAATTGCATTGATTGAAAGAATCGTTCATTTAAAGTATTTATTTAGGCCGAACAAAACTAGTTAATTTACTTGTTACAACATGAAGTCATTTTTTAGGGTGATCTGATAAGCCATTTTTTACAGTGTACACTATTCTTGTATGTAATTTTTTTCCAGTGGACCATTTCCATTCAATCCTTTAGAAATTAAGCAAGCTGTTTTTGTTAAACTGGTCTGTTCTGATTAGTTGCCCTATATTGTGGCTCATTCAAAAACCAGTCCAGGCTGAAACACTCTCCCTACCCTTGTGAATGGGTAGGGCTGAACTGCTGTAGACTGAATAGACTAATTAATGTAAATGTGATGTATTTTGTGACATCAGAAAAACAAAAAATTCCTAACATATTTTTTATGCAGCTGACTTTCCATTTATGGACTGTACAGACTGGGGAATGAATAGCATGTTTTCAAACTTTTACAAAGCTTACATACTACGTCAAACGCTTTTATTTTTAAAAAGTGAAGAAAATTGAGCTTTCCATGATATGGGTCATGTAAGTATTTTGATTCTTGTTCATATTACAAAGTAAAGTTTTGCAAGTTCAGAAACACTATCGTCTATTAGTGTGAGTTGCTAATAACTTTAAGGGCATTTGTTATCTTTGGCATTAATCTACCCAAAATGTACTTGATATTATATTCAGTCATCACCATTTAGTCCAAAAGTATGTATGATTACTTAAGTAACCTCATCAGGAAAGAGCATCAATAGCAAAAATTTGGAATAATGATGTACAAATGTATCCAGGCACGCCTCCTAACTAGTACATACAGCTTCTATAATGTGCGCTTAATGCTGACACAGTAGCATGCACAGAGGTTCTCCATAGAAAAGCATTGCCAATAGAATGGGACACTCTGGAGCAGTGCAGTGCTGTGAGGCAGTAGAACTTAGTGATGGAGCTCCATGCAATACCTTTGGGATGAGTTGGAGTGACGTTTGTGGTCTAGAACTGATCATCCAACATCTGTACCTGACTCACCAATGTTCTTGTGGCTGAAGACAATCAAATCCTCACAGCAATGTTCCAACATCTAGTGTAAAGCCAAAAGAGTGGAGGCTGTTACTGCAGCAAATGGGGGCAAATTTCTTATTAATACCTCTGATTTCAGAATAAACGTTGGATGAACAGGTGTCTACAAACTTACACATGTACAATACACATAGTGCAACATAAAACAACATACAACTATATGTACCTGTAACTATATGTACTATAGTTGTACTACACTAGACGATTTCATTGACAAGCTTGCTGATGTTAGAACAGTAAAATACATATCTTTATAATATGACTTTTAGGTGTTGAGATAGGCCTAACAATTGGTGCAGTGTGGACTGGTTAACGGCCAGATTACCGGAGGTTGATTGATCTTAGTCTTGGACTAAGATTAACTCTAATTTAGGTTTAGAGTTAATCTGGGTCTGAGAAACTGGGCCTAAGTGTAATAAATACAAACCTGTTTTTTGCTGAATATGGGACTGCACACAATCGTATGTATAATTTCTGCACATTTTAATGCACAATTGATGTTTATTTGCTGAATTAAAAAAAAGAATAAAATAAAACATAAAAAGTAGCCTGTGCAAAAGTTATGACACCTTATATATTGTGTGTCTTTTTCCAATACGTTAATTAAGCAGTAGAACACGAGAGGGAGTGTGTTATCATGAAATAACATCACGGCTGTGATTTGGTCGCAGGTGCGTGATGTTATTCGCAAAAAGGAGATCACTAGCTCCGGTTCCATTTACTCAAGTACAATGTTCATGGATTTGTACTTTTCTGATTATTTTAAAGTAATTTAACTTAACTTTAGTTATTAACTTTTACTTCTTGATTCCTTTTTTGGTGTTTAATTTCATTATGTTTCATTTGTGACTGTACACATACTGCTCACACCTCTGACTTTTGATGTTCATCATTTTATTTTAGACCAAAAGGGATCCCAAAAAAGAGAAGAACGCAGCATGACAAACTTGAGTTGGCATGTGTTAAGATGTTCAATTGCAGTTCAGTAAGTTAGTCAGTGGTTAAGTAGTTTTTGCTTGATACTTGCACTTTGACCTGATACTTAGTACTTCTACTCAAGGTGGTTTTAGGAAAGGTCTTTTTACTTGAGTCACAGAAGTAGCAGTTCTGTTACTTGAGTATGAGATTAGGCCACTCTGCCCATCTATGAGAAGATGTATTAATTTATCAATAAAACATCATTCAAACAGGAGTATTCAAACTTTTGCATACGTTTCTACATTCATCGACAAAAGTATGCCAACATATCTATTGATTTATTCCTGTGTAACCTCATGACTTCAGTTAATTTGATCTGACCTAGTTGGAGTGGACTATAGGAATGTGACAGCTGGACCGCTCCGGCATTCTCGAGGTTGGTTTGCAGCTCTCACTGCACTGCAAATTCAATTCCATCTCATCTATGGCAAGCCGACTCTTCTAGGCAGCAGTCCGCCATGGGACATCCTATAACTCTGCTCACTTTTACCATGTTTTTGGGACAAGGCATGGTGGCAGTTCTGGCTCAGTCATCTTCTGTGTCACTGGTGTCTGTGAGGAAGAAGAGTGGCTGTATTAAAGTAAGCCACTGTAAGTGCATTCTGGGGGACGGCAGCGGACTTATCGATCTTGAGTCACTGGCAGATGTGCAGGGCTTCCTGGTGCACTCCAAGCACGTCCCGTTTGAGGACACACCGCAGGACACCGAAGTGCTTCTCTCCTTCAGCCCATGCCTTCCTTTCTCCCAGCCGGAGTTCACTGTCACAGACTGCACTGATGTGGCTGCCTGCTTGATTTTAAGGTGGGTTTGAGGTTTAAGGTGGACTCATAGACTTTAACAGTATACAGTTGTATGCCAAGGTTTGTGCGACTAAGTTAACATATCCTCTACAGAGAGCACACTTTGGCAAATTTTAATTTTAATACTGTTTATTTGCTGAATTGAACGCATTGGAAAAAATAAAACCTAAAATATGGCCTGTGCAAAAGTTACAGCACCTTTCATATTTTATGTTTATTTCTTTCCAAAATGTTCAATTCAGCAAATAAATAGAAATTGTGCACTAAAATGTCATTTGACCATGGGGTTCAAACTTGCGCACATGACTGTACTACTGTAAATGCAGTTACAGTGAAAACTCTTTTTCTTTTTTTACAGTCCTTGATTTGCATTGTTAAAGCACAATACTATTTAACTTTGTCATAAATAATGTAAACAATTTCTCAGACTTTAGATCTGATGAAATTTCTCAGATGAAATACCACATAATACACCACATGATAATCATTTTCACATTTATACTTAATTACTGTTGATTTTTTAAAATACTGGATTATTGCTAAATAATTACAAAAATATCGAAGCAAGATTAAGAATTGTTTGTTTGTTTGCCTGTTTGTTTGTTTTACAAATAGCACATACATCACTGTAACATAAAAAAGTGTAAACCTTTTTATAGTGCCTACCATATGTGAACAATTTAGGGAAATTCAACAGGTGGGGATAACTGTAATAGACTAAGGGGCTAGTTGTAACAACTTATGTGCTAAGCTTTCTTAACACATAAATATGTGCATCAAAATAAATATAGTCAGTAAAAAGAAGCTGTATCAAACACTGAGAAAATGTTTTTTGAATATAGAAGTATAGAATATCAGCATGACAAAATGAAAATATATTTTTTTATCATCTGATATTTAGTATGTCTTTAATGAATCTGTAAATAACAAAAGAAGAAAGACATTAACTGTAAAACGTACATCGGGAGGTATTGGCTTCTGTCATTGTTAATTTAGGGAGACTCAGTTGTAACATAATGTAAAACTAACCCCACCATGTGGAGGCTGCACTTTAGCCTGGCTAGCTCTCACTGTGAGTTTATATGCTTCAAAACGGTGATTTCACAGCCACTATGAGAGTTATACAAATCATATAAGTGTGAATTCTGTGACTTATACACATGGCTCAGCAATCAAAAAAAGCACAAAATCAAAAATCAGTAAAAAATTAAATAGGTGGTTTCATGTACAAAAACAGTGTTCATGGTCAATCATGAGAAGTATCTGCTCAACTGGTGTGAAAATTCACAGATGACTTTGCTGTGGGGTCTGAGCCTCAGTGAGTAGGTCAAGGGTGATAGTGGCAAAGAAAAAAAACTCCTTAAGAACAAGAGGAAAAAACTTAAAGAGGAACCAAGACTCAAAAAGGGAACCCATCCTCCACTGGTCGAGACCACATATCAGAAAAATAACATAAGAAGAGCAAAATGAATAGAGAATAAGGACAGTTACACTTAATAGACTATATACATTACATTGTGCCTTGTATGCCTTTACATTTTGCTATTTTAATATGTGTCATTTTATTAAAACATATTCAGACATTAAGAAGTTATATCCTTTTTTTAGACTGGGTTAACTAGTGAGAAGTGATGTTTGTTTTTGTAGGAATAGAAGGTACACTGATCGCTATGTGAACTATGGAAGACATGAGGATAATAAATTCCATTACAATGAAACAACAAAGACTCTCTCAGTCTCCTATTCAGGTAGGTGAACTGTGCACTGTGGGCCTGTAATGGAATGGCATAATGACTTTATATATTGTCATATTATGTGTTGATGCATACATGATCAAACTTAGACATAGATATCATTGTTGCACAGCACAGAAGTTATTACACACATTTACAGTCATTAACAGTGTTCCAAAGTTTGGGCGCCCCCCGGTCAAATTACATGTTTTGTTGACTGAAGTGAAAAGAAGCTAATACATCCTCTACAGAGAACACAATCTTAATTTTACATAGTTAGGAAAAAGTAAAACATAAAATGTGGCCTGTGCAAAAGTTACAGCACATTTTTTATTTGATGTTATATTGTTTTCCACTATGGTAAATGCAAATACATAGAAATTGAGCACCAAAATTAGCATATTTAAGTCTGTTCTCTGTAAAGGACGTGTGAACTTAATGGAAATAAAACCGGTAATTTGACCGGGGGTATTTTCATTTAGAAAATCCACAAAACATGTAATTTGACCAGAGGTGCCCAAACTTTTTGTAAGTTGTATAAATGAATAGTGTGCACTGCCCAGCCACTTCATTAAATACACCTCCTTGCATGTACATGATTTGACAAGTTTATCACTCCACTTACCAATTATAGACTGTAGTCCATCTGTTTCTCTGCATACTTTGTTAGCCTCCTTTGACCCTGTTTCTCAATGGTCAGGACCCCCACATGACCACCACAGAATATGTATTATTTGGGTGGTGTATCATTCTTAGCACTGCAATAACACTGATGTGATGGTGGCGTGTTAGTGCGTGTTGCGCTGATATGAAAGGATCAGACACAGCAGTGCCGCTGGAATTTTTAAAACACCTCAGTGTCACTGCTGGACTGAGAATAATCCACCAACCGAAAATATCCAGCAAACAGCATCCTGTGGGCAGCGCCCTGTGACCACTGATGAAGGACTAGAGGATGACCAGCACGAAACTGTACACCAACAGATAAGCTACTGTCTCTGACTTTACATCTATAAGGTGAACCACAAGGTAGGTGTGTCTAATAGAGTGTACAGTGAATGGACATGGTGTTTAAAAACTCCAGCAGCACTCCTGTGTCTGATCCACTCATACCAGTGCAACATGCTGACACACTCCTTAGATATATACTTAGTGAAGTAGCCAGTTGGTGTATTATGACAAAATGATGAAAGATATAATGAATGATGATGTGTTTAGCCTCTGTGCCTCTACCTCTTCTAGCGTCCTCTTACTCTGAGGCCCAGACTGTGGTGCACTATCGCTGTAGCCCAAACCGGTCCATCTCCTACAACTTGAGGCTCCGTCACAGTGAGGCACCCCTGCAGATTTGGGTGGAAAGTCCCTGCGCTTGCCCCAATGCCTGTGCTGTGGTGGACGTGGGGCCTGGCACCATCTTCCTCATCATCCTCTGCCTCAGCATCACAGCTTACTTCATCTTAGGTGAATCTACAGCCTGTTTGAACACCTGTTAGAACTTCCAAAGTCTTGGAAAAATTCACTGTACAAACCTCATCTGTCCTGCAGGTTCTTGTGCATTAAGGCCCTTCAGGAGCAGCAGCGGAGTCCAGATTGCCCCAGAGGACAGCGTATGGTGTATGCTCTGCTACAAGTTCACTGACCAGCCCAGCAGCAAACGCAAGAGACACTGTTCACTGAGGGAGGACACGCTGTAATCTGTCCCAGACCAGATATTAGACTGTGGCATAGTGGAGGGTGATGTTTTAGACACTTTTCCTAAGTATCTCCTATGTAGATGATCTGCTTTTAGTATTTTTAGCTTGTTCTATTAGACTTAATATCAGTAATACAATTTATTTATTACAAGTGTAGACTTATTGTTGCTAAGCTATACAATCAATTCACTATATACACATGACATACACATGACAATGACATTTACATTCAATTTTGATTTATATTATTATAAATGGGCTTTTTTAATTTTAATTTTAAGAGAACACTAATTGCCCATTCTGTGACATTAGCTAACAAAAGCCCACACTAATTAGCACTGTGCTGAGTTATAGGGGAGAGAGAGGACCATTCTACCCACCCAGAGAGAGCGAGGCCAATTATGCTCTATTAGACTCCAGGCCATGGATGGATGTGGCATAGCTGGGTATTGAATCATTTGCTTCAATATCAAGAACTTACAAACAAATGGCAAACATGCAAAAATGCAATGGATGTTTTTCCTTCCACATCAAATTAAAATCAAATCATAATAACATATCCCCTCCTCCTATACACATAAATATGGTATTGTTTGAAAGTTTAGAACCATGGGCCTCATTCACCAACCATTGTTACAAAGAAGTTTCTTTGTAAAACCCACTGGTTCTGACATTCACCAAGGTTTTCTTACTTGGGATTTATTCTTAAGAACAAAATCTACACCCTTAGGAGCACAAAGGTGCGAACAGGTGGTTTAAGAAGACGTCATGAAATTGACATAGATTTTTCTTAGGACCTTTCTCAAGAACAAATTTAATAATAAACTTAGGAAGATATCGGTGAATGAGGCCCCATGTTTGCAGCATTTCTCCACTTGCGACAATAAACTACAATTACACCAAATGTATACGGTGTATACTGCATGGGCAACCAAAGATGGCTATAAACACATACAGTATATCCCAGTCTATGCAAACATTTGAACAACCCCAGTCAAATGACATATTTAGTTGATTTTGTAAGAGAAAAGAAATAAATACCTCCTCTACATCCTCTTAAATTCACCAGATAAACAGTAATAATGCATTAAAATGTGCACAAGTGTGTTCTCTGTAGGGGATGCGTTAATTTTCTTTCAGTTAGAAAATCAACAAAGCGTAATTTAATGAGGGGTGCCCAAAGTTTTGCATATTACTGTATATAGCTTGAGAATAAAGCTATAATTTAACACACACTTTTCTCTACAAAAATGGAAATCCAAAAACATAAAGCATGCTTTGAAATTGATTTCACTTTATTGATTAAAAATATTTGAGAGATTCACAAAAATAGCTATACAGAAATACAAGTGAATTCCATTAAAACCGTAGAAATCTTTTCTTTAAGTTATGCATCTATCATTAGCACAGCTTGAGAAAATGTTAGCTTATGTGTTTGAGGCATGGCTTGTGCATGGCTCTAAACCCTTTAAGGAGTTAAATTAAAGCAAAGTCTAAAGAGCTCAGTGCATGGTGCCACATAAACGAATGTCATTACACCTGAAGAGTTCAGAGAATAACCAATCACGGTTAAGGAGTTTACCAGAAACACTAAGCCTTGTGTAGGACTAAATAATGCTGTAAATGGAGCTCTAGTACTAGGCTTAACGTCTAGAAAAAAAGTTTTCTAAGATAGAAAGTGGCTACTGCGAAAGACATGCATCATCCATGCATTTTAAATGCGGAACTCCAACATTTCTCAATAATTCAATGGTTAAGATGTAAACAAAGTCATTCAGAGTGGTTTAATGAGCAATGTGCCATTCTAAAGAAAATTCTAAATTTAGATTTACAGTGGTGATAGGAACCTGATATCTAAAGAGTCTAAAACGGAGTTATTACATGAAATTGTTATCAATACACTGCCCGATGGCTGATTACATGCAGGACACTGTAAGGCAAAATAAAACTAATTTCTTCAGATTTTCAACTATTTTATCATTATCAACATTACACATACATACTCAGAAGACACATGGATCCCAAATGAAATGGCTATATTTGAGTTGTAGACATGGTGACCCCTGGTTCCTATCATCGCCACTATAAAGATTCTTCATGATGCACTATTTCAATCTGCTCTGAAAGACTGCTTACATCTTAATGATTAAATTAAGAAGAACTTTTATAATTCCCCTTTAACTGATGACAAGATGGACAAAATAAGATCAGTAATTGTGACTGAGTGACTGAATTATATGGAAGATGCATGCCTAAAAAGAAACCGTAGTATGAACAAAGCGGTCAAGACTCCACAAGCACTCAATCCGTACCAAAAGCACCATACACTAAGAGAAGCAAGTCACAGTATCAAAAAACAAACTTCTTGAGCAAATGCACTAGACCTTAAATCGCCTACATAAATTTGACAAACTATTGTTAAAATTGAGGTCGAACGCAAAAATGTCTTTTTAGTGTCTGTTTTATAGGGAAACTGACCAGCCAGCTGGTTTAAAAGGATAAAAGAAAGAAAAATAAATTTAAGTCTTAAAAAGTCAGATGTTAAAATTATGCAATTTCACATAAAACACTAGGATTTTTTATCCAAAGTGCTGCACCACGTGTCGATCTGAGTAAATTATACTCCTCTGTAGAAATTAAAAGTAAAATTTGAATACTTTCAAATAATAGTGCTGTAACAACAGTCAGACTAGACCAGCCACTGACTTCAATGTTTAAAGTAACTTTGAAGAAATACTGCAGTGTTTTTTTAAACCTATTTTGTATTGAAAATGCAAGACCTTTGTGGAGAATAAGTTGGATCTAAAGTGCGGTTTATGTGGGGAGAGAGAGTAGTGTTACACAACAAGACCCTGACAATTTGGGAGATAAAATGAGTATGGCACACTTTAGTTAAAATGATGACCAAAAACAGCTGATGTGCTATAGATACTATGGCATACCCAGACATCGCTGATGTCAAGACATAACACTGGTGTTTCTCTATATATGCAAATCTAGAACCCACAACAGAAGATGCATGGGTGCTGATCTGAGATCAGACAGAACCTTTACTGATTCTTGATATTAATCCTCTCACAGTACTCAGGCCAGCTGGTACTCCAGGAATACTGTACAAAACATACTTATTCATTATTATTTAGTGTTGACCAGGCAGGCATTGGCAAATAGTGTACAGCATGGTCATCACTTCTGGTCCTGGGTGCAGCACAGTTTTGTAATTTCCCTGTTTTAGGCCAGATTTAGTTGGTAAATCTAAACAGGGAAATCACCAAACTGTGCTAGATTCTGACCCTCCAGGACCGGGTTATTTACCATTGGTGTCGGGGGGATTTACTGAGTGGAGGGGATGTTACCCTATGGCGACTCGGGGAAAAAAAAAACAAATGTTTACAATACAATTTCAAAATACACTGCTGGACATTTACAACAAGGAACATACTCAGAAACCCTACACTCTTATAAATAAAGGTGCTAAAATGTTCTTTGGAGCGACACAGAACACAGAAGAACCACTTTTGATACCCTACAGAAACTTTCAATGGGTGGGTTCTTTAGAAACCATTTGAAACCACACAATTGAACTTAAGGGAACCAAAAGTGGTTCTGCCATGGCATTGCTCCAAGGAACCCTTTTTGGCACCTTTTATTTTTATGAGTGTACCACAATTACAGACCCTGCAACCACATACAGTACAAAAACAAGACACACATACACATACACAAAATGACAGCGCCACAGGCAGTGAACGTCATTGGCGATAGTGGTTCATGTGTTTAAAGCACAATTTGGTTTAAACAGTACAGTGACAGGGTCGATTTCACAGCCCTAATCAAAATATTCCTTCGAAAATGGAGGTGGAGACCTTAACCAAGTAGGTGGCATACAAACTAAAGCAGTGGTTGGGTGTGTCTGGGCTCTGTAAAGGTCTCGTAAAGGCACATATCCTCCAATGGTGTAGACAAACAACCAAAAAAATGAGTGAGGCGTCCAAATCCTCCGCAGTAGTGACGAAGAATGGCCTCTTTTAATGGCTTTCAATCACCACGGGTTCATACACTCCAGCAGTGACCCTAGTATAAAATACAATATAATTAATCTATATGTAATTGTAACTTAATTATAACTACAGTACTGGGCAAAACTCAGACATCACCCTTCAGTTATTTGATTTCCAGTCAAAACAGCCATCAAGTAGAAGTTATTTATTAAAAGCAAAAATGGGCTGGGGGTTAGGGAACAAGCCTTGTGATCGGAAGGTTGCCGGTTCGATGGCCTTAGCCAACAGTTTGTGACTGAAGCGCCCTTAAGCAAAGCACCTAACCCCCAACTGCTCCCTAGTGTGTGTGCATTCACTAGTGTATGTGGTGTTTCACTGCATGGATGGGGTAAAATGCAGAGGTGAAATTTCCCTGTTGTGGGACTAATAAGGGTCACTTAACTTAAAAGATATACTTAACATAAAATTACACAGAAGCCTCCACAACTAAATTTTTTGTATTTAGTGTGTCCACCCATTGCATTCAATACAGCTTCCATTCTTGCTTCCAGTTTTTCAAAGAAAGCTGCAGGGATATTCTTCCAAAGTTCAGTCTTAGAAGTTGGTTGCATTTTCAATGATGTTGGCGCCTGGGCTCTGGGGTGGTCACTCCATTGTTCTGAGACCAACAGCTTGCTGCTTCTTTGTTTGATTTAGAAATTTGCTTCTTTTTGTCTGTTTCCTTTTCTCAGTAAGGACTTCTTGACAGCTATACATCCTTTCAGACCCATAGCACTGAGTTATCTTCTCATAGTAGAAGGATAACAGAAAACATCTGTGGATTTTTTCAGATCTCAAGCAAGAGTGGAGCTTGATAATCTCCTTTCTCTCAAAGATGAAAGCTATAAGTGCTGTTTATTTGATTATTTGACAATTTTAGTGGTCTTCCAGGTTTTGCATGGTTGTTAGGAGTCCCATCTGTCAAAATTTTTTTAAACTCTACTTATTTTTCTTTTACCCTCCTTATGCAGTTATCTTAAGTGGATTATCTTATATCTAGCCTCCTCAGAATAACCAGTAATGCCCCTGTTGACTGGGAATTAAATTAAGGGTGATATCTGACTTCTGCACATTACTGTATATTAATACAGTGTGGAATAACTGGCTTACCGGTTTCCCAGCTGAATTCCACTTAAGGCAGTAGTCCCATCTCTACTGACAAACAGTCTCAGGTTGCTGTCTAAAAGCAGAAGAGGTGAAAAAGAAGATGAAAAATGCAATAAAGAGTGATCATCAGAGAAAGAAGAGTAATGATGGCTGATACAGTGCAAAGAAAGATAAGGTCTGGATCATCAGGATACTCTTAAAATGGTCATATTTAAAACCACACTACTGCTTTTTTGTTGCCTACCTTCATTGTTACTGTTGTCAGCAAAGTCCTGACTCTGAACTATCTTCTCTACGATGTCGTCTGCATCAATACGGGTGTCATTAACCCAGGTGGGGTGATTCTCCACAGAATCCTGCTTCCTCCTGGAAAGAGAAGTAAAAAAAAGTGTCACTGAAATCTGTAAATTTATAGTGAGGATCTGTAGTATATTTGTAACAGTGACCTGCATGATATTTTTACAGTGGGGACAGTTTTGTCCTTATTTTAGTTTTGTCCTTATTTTGCAAACATGACTTCATCATGATCGTTAACTGATATTGTCTTTTATAGACTTTAATCTTTTAGCTTAGACTATTTTCACATTTTAAAGTGTTTGTCAGATGTTTTCAGGTTTTCAGACATTATCATTGCATATATCAATTGTTTAAAGCCTACATTACCTACTCGGGGTGCGGGAAAAAATCGATTCTTAGATGCATCGCGATGCGGACGTGAACGATTCTGAATCGATTCACAAATTTCAAAAATCGATTCTCTAAATATTTAATTTATAACGTAATGTTGACAGAACACAAAAGGCGGAACTTGGAAGTGCGGAAGTGCAGCGCCCGGACAATCTGTGGCGGCACATAACAAAAACACAAGTGGAAATCCGACCGGCTCCCTCTGCATTAAAGCCAGGTTAGGTCAGGAGGCACAACCCAAATGTTAACATTTTGTCCTTTCAACAAAAATCAAACCACCTTGGGAGCCGCAAAATTTAATGTCCAGTATGTCTCAGTATGTGCTGATGTCCTAGTATAGGCTAAACAATATAAACGAAAACGCAGATTTACTTCGCTGTGCTTTAAGCTGTAGCTCAGCTACAGCTGCTTTCCTCCCATCTCCGCCAGAAAACTTTTCCTCAGAAGTAGATCAGTTTCTTGTAAAATGTCTCTCAACGACTGTTTTACGAGGCTGAAGTCGCTTCTTATTCTCCAGCTTCTTGTTCGAATTTACCTGTTCCACCTTCAAATTCTAACTGAGGCGCTGAATGTAAATGTGGCACCATTTAAGATGGAACGGGAGAATTCGAAAGAGAAGCTGACTTCAGCTTCGCCACTTTTTAGTGTTTGACAGTCTCTCGTTGCAGATTTAATGTACCAGGAAACCAACTGCGCTGCTTATAAATGCGAATAACGCAGCACTGCTATGTGACCTGCAGTCTGTACGCCGGTTCTCAGTCCTTGCGAAACAACGCTTTTGCGCAATGTTGCACACGTCCCGTCTCAGGGATACTTTACTGGCACAGCAATCCCCCCCGTCTCTACAACGAGACCAAAACTGAAGTTATAAAATCACTAAAGAAAACAGGTAGAATAGCTGTAACATGTGCTGCGCGGACGTCCATCACCACTGGATCTTATTTCACCGTAACTGCGCATTTTATCGCAGATGAGTAGCAGCAGCTTCTCGTGCTCCAAACAAGAGCACTGAATGAGAGCCCTCTAGTTCACTTGCAACATCACTTCCATTTGTTTTATTAATAAAAGATATTGGAAGTAAATTCATTATGGATTACAAATACTTTGCTTTAAAAGTAACAAGTCACTTTAAATAACAACACTGAGTCACTTAGTCACTTTAAAATGTATATTGTCTCTATATTCTGTGTATATTTTGTGTATATTTAATATATTTCAGTTGGTTTTTCTTGTATTTTTATTTTCACTTTATTTACTTTCTGTAGAGTGATTAGCTGAGCCTCACCACAAGCATTTCAATGCATAAATGTCCTGACATGTTGTGCAAATGAAAAATAAACTTGAAACTTGAACGCGAAACTTGAGCTCACACAGTGAGAAAATATAAATGCTATATAGAAAAAAAAAGATGCATCGAGATGCAGCGATAATCGTTTCATAATCGCATCGCAGCCCTCTGAATTGTAATCGAATTGAATCGTGAGGTGCCTAGAGATTCCCACCCCTATTACCTACAGTAATGTAAATTATCTACAGTACCAAGAAAAATAATATTATGGTGCAAAATAAACCTTCTCCTTTCATGCATGTAATGTTGCTTTTACTTACCACTAACCAAGATAACTAGGCTTACATAGGATGTTTTCTAGCTAAAGTTTCAGTACAAAAGCTCTTAAGTAGAGAGAATACTAAGTGGAATGGGATACCTCAGGGGTCTGTTAGAGGGCAGTACAGGCCGAGGGGGGCGCTGGGGTCTCTCATGGCGACTGTCACTTTCTGAGGGGGGGTCGGCACTCACACTGCTGCCTGTGGATGTGTTCCTGCGGTGGGTCAGATCCGAAAGGCTGGATGAGCATGAGTGCTCCGTGCTGTAGCCTGCATCCACAAACACACACATACATACTGTAAATAGCCGTTGTGACCAACCCCCCTCCTGCAGACTGCATGCTGCCCCCCCAACACAAAAGCTATGTTAACACTACATACGATGCTCCATCCTAGTTTATTGCTGAAATCTGATTTTTTGTATTTGTATTTTCTGTATTCAACTATGCTCCACCACAAAAACAAACACACACACACATTACTTCGAACACAGGCAGTTATGATATATAACATATATATGATATATAAGTTGATAAGTTGAATAGAAGCATCACTCTGTCTTACTGCTTGCAAGGTCACATCTTACTGTCCACTCAAATTAAAAAATTGAAAATGTCAGATTAAGGGTACATTTACATTGGTAGTACTGTTGCACTGTTGCAGACTGACATATTTGACATCAAACCAACACGTAAAGAAAGGTCATAGGTAAAACCTGACAACCGATAACACAGATTTTATCCATTTGGTAATAAAAACAATAATATCCAACAAACTTCTTTAACCACATTAAACTCTAACTAATTTTGGTCTAAATGAGTTTGATGATTTTATGTACATTTTGTTTTATCTATGTACAGTTATATGCAAAAGTTTGAACAACACAGTCAGATGACAAGTTTGGTTGATTTTCTTAGTGAAAACAGTTAACACATCCTCCACAGAGAAACATTTATTGTGTTATGTATTTTTCTGCAAATTGTAGCACTCCATTTCTGTTTGTTTGTTGAGTTTAACATATCAGAAAAAATAAAACATTTTTACTTCAACAAAACATGTAATTTGTCTGAGGCATCCAAACTACTGCATACATTTCTACACCTTGTGATATTCTAAAGCAAGGTGCCACGAGAGGCTATAAAGTGCAGTAAAATCACTACAAAAACTTCTGGCCTCAAGTGACTGACTGCTTTCATGAAACGCTGTTCACTTGGCACATTAATACTAATGTGTGTAGTGATATGCATGTATATCGAGATTTTAAAATTGTGTCAAACATGGCTTAGCCTCATTTTAAAACAAACTATTCATTCTAGAATTATTAGGAGCAGGTCATATGCAGGTCACTATGCATGTCAAAGTAATGTCAGAAATTAATCTTTTGCATGCACCATAGAAGGTCTGTAGAAAGAAGATGAATGTTTGTTCTGTGTTTGGTTCGTAGTGCGTTCATATTTCAAACGAACCGCACCAGAGTGAGTTCGGAAGCAGACTGAGACTAGCCTGCTCAGGTGTCTCGCTCCACTTATTTTGGTATGAACCAGAGTTCACAAAGCAGCGTTCTCATTTGTTCTAACAATTTGCACTAACAGGGAGACCGCATCAGGGTATGTTTTTTCCTGTTCACACTTTGACTAAAAAACCTGTTTCACATATGAAAAAAAATAAGATTTGGGCCACTTTTATCTGCAGTCCAAACACAGTGTAATCGCCTGATCCAACCAAACACAAACTTAATCCATTATACTGGAACAGGTGTGTAGACTAACAAATAGATACAAACAAACTGAAGTTCACAGCACTATCCACCCAAAAACAAACACAGCGACTGCTACTGAAGTGTCAGTGTGCCATGTTAAACAAACTTTCCCACAGTCACATACAATAGCAGCACCTCAGAGAGAGGGAGACTTTAAAGGGCAGACAAAAAGAGGAAGCTATAGCACTTCTTCCTGAATCTGAAACCAGGGTAACACGGCATGGGCACATGAGGAATTCATTCTAGCTCCACTCCATATATAACAACACGAGATGTAAACAGACTCACTCTGGGAATGTTTGTGCAACAAACTATGAAAAACACATGATGATATAATACACACCTGACAGCTTGCTTTGTTGGCTAGCGTAGCTGGAGTTACGGGAGTGACCGGTGTGGAAGGTCTCATCTGTGCTGGAGCGACTCAGATCACCCTCCTCAGGCAGACCTAAACAATACAGATGAAGTAAAGCGCATTAAAAAAAAAGATAGCAACTGAAATTCCTAAGATTGGCTGCATTAAGTCCATTTAAACAAGACTAATTAGGCTTTATTTCTAATGAAACATGCAGTTTATCATTGTTCTTAAAGTACTAACGATATCCACAACATGCTTAGGAAAGCATATTGTGATGTGATTTAATATAGTTTATCATGATGACGATGAATACTGTCATACTGTTCACCCCTACTGTGCACTGGACACACCTGAGCTGAGGATAGAGGGTCTGGGTTTGGTCAGCCGAGGCACTGGCCCCACAGCCGTGCCCTCTCCTTTACGGTCCAGCTGTAGAGAGGGCTCTCGGCCTGGCACGGAGATAGACTTGGCAGTACTAGGAGGACTGAGGGTAGAGGAAAGAAAAAAATAGAAAATGAATGGACCACAAATAATTCAAATAATGCAAGCAGCAGTTCAACTAGAAAGAAAGAAAGAAAGAAATAATATTAAATAAAATAAACAAAACACAAAATAGTAAAGAAAGAAGTATAGAAAAATTACACACAGTGCACTTTAACTATTCACCAAAAGAGGGCATCACTCACGTTTTAAAACATGGGTCTGCAGATAAAAGGGTCATCCCAATGGTCACCTTAAGAAGAAAAATATCAGTCAGATTGAAGTGAAAACAGTTCAATGTAAACTGATGTTTAAGCCAGAAAAAAAAACTGTTTATATATTCTATTGATTTCTTTACCACTTATCACACACTGTCACGCTGTAAAAAATTGTTGAGAGAACTCAAAATATCAAAATATGAGTTTTTTGAGCTTTTGCAGTCATCCTTACTAAGGTTGTCATTTAACCAGCATAGATTTGTTTGTTCATCCATCGACAGGTTGTCAATAAAATATGACATTTTTTTAAAGGGGGAAATTCAGCACAGATTACATTTGCAGGATTTGGCGGACACACTTATCTAGAACGATTTTAAGTTAAATCATGTTACAGGGGAGTCTTTCGCATGAGCATGGTGTGCTTGCCTGAGTGGGAATTCAAACCCCAGTCTGTGTTTACCACTACACCACACAAACCATGACCTGAAGTCCAGAAGATTAATGTTATCATTGATAATCAATTAAACACTTACATTTATTAAATAGTGACATTTTTTAATTATTTGCAATGCTGGGAGGTCTAATGAAAAGCACACACACAAACAAGTTTCTAGAAGTTATCTAAATTCTCCAATGATTTTTTAATACCTGTTGAGACATGGCGTGTGTTTTTAATATAAAAGAATGTATAATATATCATATGTCAAGAATCACCTTATTTCTTCCAAAGTAACTGTGAAGCTGGGCCTACACCACACAACTACACAATCACGATGTTGCTCCAGTGGGATCGGTGCCCTTCTGATATTTTCAAGCATTTTCAAGGCACAGAGTCACTCTCTTTACAATTTCAAGTTAAAACTAAGCTAAAACATCTCTCCAGCTCTCACTCTATCTGCGTTTCTCAACCACATGTTCATTCCCAGTTCATGTTTTCACTACGTTTCTTGTGTGTGCATAAAAGCACAAGAAGATCTGGTCCATTTAAGCTTTGTTTATTTTGGAGATTCAGGGTTTTGAGTACTTTTTCATAGCCTGATTTATCTAAATAGTCTTATACCCTCTTTTTGCCTTGTCGTAAGAAATTCTGTAAAACACTGACAGGAAGTTTGTGTTACTATCCATTTTAGAAATCTGTTAGGACTTTAAGAGTAGCGAACTGTACACCCAGCTTAACTCAAACCTAAGGGGAGTTACTTTCATGTGTATTTTTTGGTGCTGGATATGTGTAGATTGGTAACTTCACCTTTCATGTCTTAAGATTACAGTTGGTGTAGTGGGTTACACTGCTGCCCTCTACCCAACAGACTGGGATTTGAGTCCCTGCTTAGGCAAGAACCAAGAGTCCTTGGGCAAGACTCCTAATGCTGCTTTAATTACCTCTGTAAGTTGATAAGACTGTAAGTAATTCTGCATAAGAATGTCTGTCAAATACCATAAATGTAATGTAGGCTGTTTTTTTTTAATATTTTATTTGCAGCTTAACAATGGATGAATAAGCACCTCTAAGTTGGTTGAACAAATTAACCTTAGCAAGGATGACTACAAAAGCAGGTGTTGAGAAAACTTTAAAAATCTCAATGCATCATGTTGTCTTGATATTTTCAGTTACTTTTACAATATACACCAAGCAAAGTGTGGGTAGTGTGTAGAGTGAGGTAGTGTGAACTAAAGTGATTTCTAACCTTTAAGATGGAGTTGTCCTGTCGGGTGTTCTTAGTGTTGTAGCCTTCGAGCAGACAGCAGCGCACAGTGGAGCCTGAGCCAGCAAACTCCGCCATGTTCAGATCAGCAAAGCCCAGCTGAGAGGAGCTCACAGTCAGTAATGAGTTTAATACACGGCTTCTTTTAAAACCCATCATTTTCAACAATCCACAGCAAATGCCAGAAGTGTATCGAGTACACAACCATACTGCCCATTACAAGAATATCATGATTTTTTTTTCTCATGTTTTTAGTCCCTTCCCTGTGCTTTGGCTTTATTCCTCTTTCTCACTGTTTATCCACCTCTCATTCTCTCAGCCTGAGCAGGCAGATCAGCAGCAGATACACCAAACTGACTTAGAGGAGATTTAGCATGTTCTGTATTCAGTCTGCTGAGGACTATGCTGACTAAACGGAACCCATTCTTCTTCCCGGATACTATGACTGATAACTGGGTTTCCAAAAACTACATCCGCTCATTTTCACTGCCAGGATGTTCGCACTGTCAGTTTCCTGTTTTACTGCACGTTATGAACTCTGCTATGGTGTGAAGCGTTAGGGGTTGGGAAACTGTTTGCAAACATTAGATTAGTCTTTGTTAATGTTATTTATTTAATAACATAAAAATAAAATCATGGCAGGTCAAAACAATGCATTTTGTTTTTGTATAAATATGTTTATTTAACATGATTACATTTGTCATTTATAACATACTGAGTTACACAGGATAATAATCTAATTTTATTTAATGATCTTATGTGTAATTATGAATGGCCTTATATAGCTGTGTTACCATTTAGTGAGAGCCTTCTTACCAGGGTTAATGCTTTGTTCTCTTTTGTTTACATTTTCTTCTGTATTCATAAGAGCTTGCTGCTTGGAAAAAGTCCTCAAGTCTGAGGCATTTCCCTCTTCAGATTGAATTTACAAAGTATTTACACATTTAATGAGTGAACAATAAATGAAGAGTTCCATTCCAAAATGCTTCATATCCATTTCTACAACATTGAATACACTTGTTTTTTTGAAAGAATAACAGCTAACCTTTCTAATGTCTAATTAAGGTGGTATTAATCATAATTTAGCATTAATATCTCCTGTGTGCATAAATCTCACTCTCAACAACATATATTATGAAATAAAAGAAAATTCTCATAAGTGGTCTATAATGTGTTTTGGAACAAAGCCTTTCATATCATTAACAACCCTTTCACACATAATCCTCCCATTTCCCAGCACAGACACTTGGCCATCAGGTTAAGACATAACAGACTCCAGATGTAAATGTCTAGAACCATGAAACTAACCATGCAATGACACTGAAACGTCTGATTACTTATGGCCCCTGACACAGGGGACTATGTATAAAAAGATCTGGACCATTCTACTGAATTAGTCCAAACTGCAGCCCCACCGTAAAATTACTACTGAAAAAACAATTACATATTCAGACATGAGATATTTACAAGGACTTTGTTATAATCTATTTAAACCCAAAGCTAACCAAGATAGTAAGAAGCTAAATATACCCAAAATCATTTCTAAAGTACTTGCTGTTTGGAGGTGGCTGCTTCAAACTCCAACCCCTAAATTTCAACTTGTGAAAATAATACTTTTTTTGGTTTATTTTAAAGTGAAGTTGAAAGAAGTATGAATATTTTACAAGCTAAGTGCCCAAGTCAGCACCTTTGTCAGTAATGGATGCACCTGAAAGTAGCTGGATTCACAAATTAGAAGAGGAAGGTGGATAATTTTAGACATATAGTCTGTATCTTTACCTTGTTTTGCAGTACAATTTTTTCTTTCGCAATACGACTGAACAAGGGAATTTATGAACCAATGTACAAACAAGAAAGGGAGTGTACGACTATGATTCTAGTCTGTTGAGAAGCGTAATGTTTTCCAGACGGTCATCCACTGCCAAAGCTCTTTGGCGGCTCTCCTAAAGCAGGAGACCTTTCTTCAATAAGCCTCCAAAACTTTCTTCATTTCCCGTTTCTCTAACAGGCTCCTTCACAGCGCTGCTTTAAGTCACTTTAAGTGAAAGCTAATTGAAAACTTGCTATTTCATTAAGACAAGGACAAATACAGTGTGATAGCATGCTTTCTATCCTACGCTCAAATTTTCAGGTCATTAGAATTTAATGGGAGTATTTTCTGGTATAACGTTTGGCCATATATCCTGTTGACTTATAGAAAGTTCTTGAAACTGGCAGCCCCCCAGGGCACTTTCTGCCTTCAGACGCACTTATTTAAAGAGGCCTTCTCCTGAGGAGCTGGGGTATATTTAGCTCAGGAAAATCCAAACTTAGCCTGAGAGTTGGGAAACAAAAGGAAGGCTCCATTCACTACTTACGAACGCAAATTTCCCCACCTTTGTGTCCTTCAGGGAACATCTGTGACTAACATTAGGTCTAGACTAGATTGGAATGCTACTTTTTTCCAAGGAAACCACTGATGTACACTTATACAAAGGGACCATCAGCTGTTTTAGGACTCTGATCAGGTGACCACAGCTTTGCAATGCTGGTGGAAATCTTGTGACACATCCACACCCTGACCCAAACATGTTTACAAGGTAGAATATTTACACCTACAGACAACAACTACTCTCAAGTTTACTTTCACAGTTGCAACTTCAGTGTCAATTAGGTAGCAGCACACAACTGCGTAAGACCAACACTCTACATGTGTTAAGTACAATTTTATCTCCTATTACATGTTAAATGTGCAGAGGAGGATGTCAATGTTAGCTGTTACGTATAGCATATGGGTAGCAGGGTGTGGAAGATTTCTCTCACCTTTGAATATGCTTTTCCTCCTTTGAGTTCCTGTAATGAAAACAGGATAAGTCTTGAATTTAGTGACTGGGAAGTACAGGCAGAGTAGCATAAATGTTTACTTCACCCCACTTCCATTTAAACATGCCTCCAAATTCCCTTCAAATCAGATAACCTTGGTTTATTTAAAACTAACTGCAAGCAGCTTTTCTTGAACTTAGATTAAGTCTAGTCTTAGTCTAAATTGTAATGTTGATGCTAATTCACCACTGATAAATCTGTTTAGTCCTGGCACATTAGTGTTTTTCAACCTAATCAGATTAACCCAATTAACCCAATCTCTATCCCAGTCCTGATCCTGCATCTGTAACATATGACAGATTACCACAGGCGATTTCAGAAAACTGAAAACCCATTGACACAAAAGACACTCACAATAGAAGCCAATGGCGAAGTGTTTCATCAGGTTCTATTTGCTTGTCTTCTATTTTTAGTGCTTCTAGTCAAAAGATTTTTATTTTTTTTTACTAAGGACAGGGAAATGAGTAGAGCCACGCCGAATAACTGGAATACTCAAGCATTTGTTTGTTATGTTGGTATTCAATTCTCTAATTAGTATTCCGAGGCTGTGTCTTTTTTAAGCCTGAAACAGTTAGCCTTTAGAAAGTACAGTTATTGTTAATATATGCAAAATGTCATCATAATGATATAAGAATAAAAAATAATAATAATAATAATATGCAAATTGACATCATAATTCCATGCCAAGCATCCACGCTCATTCACCTTACAGTGCAAAAAGCTGCAGTGCTTCAAACATGGCAACTGAAGCTAAAAGAGCAGAGATTACTCACAGAAATCACATGTGTGTGAGCACTTTTAATTTTTGGATGATGAGGTGCGACAAGTTTGAGAAATCCTCTCAAATACATATGTATAGCAATCCTCATCTGAGTAGCGCCAAACATCCAATCCACAGTGTGTCCGACTCTGCTCCGTCACAAAACAACTTCAGATAGGAATATTAGCTCTTCCACAGAAAGTGGTAACGTGACTGGATTGTGATGGAGTTTACATTTCATTTGTACAAGTGGATAAAAAAAAGACCCTGAAATTATAATTTTTACAGGACTTATTTGGAAATACAAACAAGTATTCCAAACCTGTAAAATGCTGTCAAAGCCAGGCCTAGAATTTGTCAAAATCATCCTCTGTGGTAATTAACCACATGCTACAGATGCAACAGATACAAATTAGGTTGAAAAAGTTTGAGTACTCTTTTAAGTTCTTAATCTCGGTCTAGGAGACCAGGGGTAAATTAAAATACAGAGCTAAGCTCTAATACTTTGTTAAGATCTAATCTGAATGCACATGTGAAGTTCAAATCCAAGTATGGCCATTTAGCTGGGGTGTGGTGGGCCTTACCTTTCTCACAGAGACTCTGCAAATGCAGGGGTCCAACACACCAGTGTTGGGGTTGGCACTCATTTTACACACAAAGGAGAACCTCTTCTTCCAACGGACAGAGTTCTCCCGAACCTCCTCTCTACGGGAGAATGGTGGAAAATGTTGTTTTAAAGAGATGTGTCATTTAGTTACAAAGAAAAAAACACAGTATGTTAGGGCCAGTGTGCTGCTTTTGGCTACTAACCATGTGCATTTCTAATGTTTCAAGCTGTGCTGATATTTATTATGGCTAGCAACTTAATAGAAGCCAACTGTATTTTTTTAAATTGGCTATAGAGATTAGAAGTTTGCAGGAAGGAGGGATCTATGGTCGAGCAGTTTCTGAGACATTTAATAACCTTTTCAGTACAGGGCATTTTGCTCAGCACGTCACATTATGCAATGCTGCACACGATGCACATTTGTCAACTGTTCTTTGGTACAATACCACCCCCACCTCATCTCAGACTGCTGAAGAAGCCAAACAAAGAGGTGACATCCCAAAAAATGGCTTATCTTTTCAATGTGATTCAGTCACAGTTTTCCATTAAGACATACGTATACTTACTATACAAATACAGCATAGACAGAGGAGGCTTAACATATCCACACAAGTCTAACCACAAAACACACACAAACTTGGCAACCATGAAAAATAAAGAGAGAACTATGAGGGAGCTTTCAATAAAGATGCCAAAATACTGAATATGCATGAGGCTCTGGCCATCTGCTATGCAAATAAACAGCTATTAATACTACAGAACAGACTGCTCTGTGGAAGCATTCTACCAGGACAAACCTACAAAGCAGCCAAACTTCAAAAATCTAAGGCAGAAATACAAAAAAGTAAAATAAAATTTCCACTCCATGTAGTTCCCACAGTATAGCCTGCAATAAACAGTGTTCTCAGTGATTACAAGCCATAGCTTCATTGTTAGAAACAAGGAAAGTCACTGTGGATTTAATTCATGGTATGCTATACCAGGCTTGGGAAAACCATTCTAAGCTATAGAGAACAGCTTGGCCAGGTGTTTGCTATAAAACCACAAAATTTGAACAAGCGGCTGGGGCTATATAAAAGTGGCTTACAGATGTGAACTGTGTCATCAGTGTGACAGAGTATGTATGGTCACAGTGGTGCTCTATAACTAGCCCTCTAGAGAGAACCTGTAGGGACGCATAATATAGGCTCGGTCTATGAGGGGGTTTAATAATACTTTGAGATGGCTTTTTGCCAAAGAGGGCATCTGTTCCTGATTCCTCTCCACATTTGGAGACACACACTGAGAACTGTGGCACAAGACCATTCAGCTGCATATCCCTGAGGGCCAAATGGAAGAGATGAGGCACTTTTCTGCTGAAACAGCATTTCAAATTTTTACTCCACTCAAACGCATGCTAGAGAGAGATGGCGCCAATCTGATATTCTATATTCTATATTTTATACTTTGCTACTCTGAAATGTGAATGCCTGAATGTGAGCACATTGCCAGGGACGTTAAGAATGTGACTGAGAGGGCAGAGACAGTGTGGCTGTATCACTAAGTAGGCTGTATCTACTCTGAAGTTAGCTAGATCCAGAAACAGTGAAAACATCTTTCTTTGACAAAATGTTGGCACATAATCTACTAAGGACAAAATACCTTGTTTAGATAATGAAGAGTACTCACAAGCATCCTACATGACACTTGTTAGCTCTGCTGGCTCATTAGCTCATCTGAAGAGGCAACATTAAAAATAAAGTAGGCTTTTTCCTTCTTTTGTAAAGTCACCATTTTGGACATACATACATACATACATACATACACATATATATATAGGATAAGTATTGGTATCAGACTAAGGATTCATTTTCAGTATTGGTACCAGAAAAGTTGCACTATGCCATTTCTAGTGGATATACCCAGAAGACCACACCATCAAATTCTGATTTGGCTGTACGGTTCACCTGCATGTCTGCAGCTGCAGTCAGGCAGGTGTTGGCATTTCTTTCACAGATGATAGCTAATGCCTGGCACCACTCTCACAGCCTCTGCTATCAGAGCCAGAAAGATCTAATCATTCACCTCCTTCAGCCTGTCACCCCCTCCACGCACACTCACATTCCTCACTCACATTCCAGGGGCCAAACACACTTTGTTGTATCGCCCTAGTAACTACAAACGCCTAGTGTCCGCGGCAACCCTGACCAGGGAGAGTGAGGAGTGGGAGAGAGTGTAAGAGAGAGGGAGGGGAAGGACACAGAGAGCTAATTATTCTGTCAGACAACAATAACACTTTTAAAGTTCACATGTTTAAACTGTCTATACAGTACCACACTCTTAAAAGTAAAGATTACTAAATTATTCTTGGCTTGAATGTAAGGTTCTGGAGAATAAACCTTAATTGTTATTTACCCTTTAAACTTTAAAAAAATCCTTCTACACAGTTGTACATCACATTTGCAAAATAGTTCTTCCACTGAAAGGTTCTTTAGGGAACCAAAATAGTTATATTGCATTGCTCCTTTTAACTCTTTTCAGAACATCCTTTTAGTGACTGAATTTAAAACCTGACCCAAAGAAGCTTTAGGGAAAGGAGAGCTTAAAAAAAACAAGTTGCCAAACTGCCCTACAAAAAGAAATGTCTGCCCTAAATATCAACACAGAGCTTTTTTCATCCTCCAGCTTCTCGCTCTCCCATGGCGGCCAAAAGCAAACCTGATCATGCACTCTTGAATGGGCTGATTGTCGGGAGCCTTGGGACAATTTACTTGTATACAAAAGATCCCTAAGCAAGCTTGACACACTATCTTGACACACTACTAAATATGCTTTGAGAGTGCATGCAGCTTGATAATTAGAGTGCATCCAGCTTGAAGCTTATTCTGCAGTCCAAAGCCAGGAGAAGACATTTCAGTGCAACATGAACAAAACAGACATCTAGGTCTTCCAAGCCCTAACTCAGAGGGCATGCAATGTGCACAAGATTATTGTTTCAAGTTTGCTTAATAATCTAAATTCTGCACAAAAACATATAAAAGTACTACAGTCCCAAAGACACTGAATGCAGCCATGGACTTAAGGGTGGGCAATATGTCAATATGTTTTCATGATAAATTACTCACAATATGCTTTTTTTGAGCATATTGAGGATATCTTCAGATATCTTCATCTTTACATAAAAAAAAAAAATACTAAAAATCATCTTACCCAGTTTTCCTTTTTTTAATGTGGTATTATTTTGCTGGTGCATTCTGTCCATTCCAACTTGTTCATAAACCTAAAAAAACTAAATGTCATGATATAATTAATTTTGCTCTTTCTGCTCCTGCAGAGTACTATAAAAATATCACTGCTGAATGTTACCATCATCACTTTCATTTTTTTTCCACATCATTTGCACACAGCAGCCGTCCTTTACATAGAGTGAACATTTCATGATAAACGGATCAACAGAAATGGTCCAAAATCACTTGGAACAAAACCTTACATTTACATTTACATACAACCCCAAGTCATTAAAAAGGCCTGAGGACATCATGTACTGAAGCACTTCAGGTGTAATTTTGTCCCATTTCTCCTGTGTGCAACCGTATGTGGTTCTCATTGTCGCGTTTTGCGTTTTAAAATGTAACACACATTCTCTGTTGGGGACAGGTTAGGACTTCAGGATGATAAAGGATCTTGATGCAGTGCCATCTGAGGGATTAGAGAACACAGTTATTCAGCATAGGTTTGTGCTCTTAGCCTTCATGTACTGAAAGATTCTCTGAATCTTTAAATCATGGTATGCACCATAGAGAGTGAAATATCCAAATTCCTTCCTATCTTCTTTTGAGGACCATTGTTTTAAAACATTTCAATAATTTTTGTCACACATTTGTTGGTAAACTGCTGATCCTCGGCCCAACTTTGCATGCTGCTTCTGTACCAAATCATGATTACAATCACATGTTGGTATCACCTGTTTCAAAGCACATCATTATTTAATTTTTGCCCCACTACTAGCCCTCAAATTGCCACCGTTTCAACTTTTTTTGGACTGTGTTGCAGGCCTGAATGGCAGGAATGAATGTATATTTACAATTGAAATGAATTTGACCAGACAAAACACAAAATATCTTGTGTTCATACTTTCTGCAAATAAATACAAGTCAAAGTAAATTTAAGAAATCACCACTTTCTTTTTTATTTGCATTTTCCATACTGTCCTATTAGAGGTTGTACATTTAACTTTCTCATTCTAAAATCAGAATTGGGGGCCACATGGTTTTGTTATTTGTAAATGTCCATTTTTGCATTGTTAGAGCATTAGAAGTACCACCTGGTCCATTCAGACTGTGCTGTATAATGCCCTTGCACTGTATAATGCTAGTCATGATAGCATTATATATATATATATATATATATATATATATATATATATATATATATATATATACATATATATATATATATATATATATATATTATTGTTTTTATTTACACTCTATTGGAAATGTCATTGTTGCAGTTTTGTATTATCACCCCAAGCTTTAATTGTGCTGTACAGCATGATAAATTCTTTTTTTACAAAGAGATCCTCTTAAAAATGGTCCTAAGCAATTGGGCCTTCATTTTTTGGAAAAAGACCTAGGGAGTTAGAAGTGAGTGACCCAGTACTTCAGTTTGTGTCAAGAATAAGAACACTGTGACCACAAAAGTCAGATAATACAAACAGAGAGCAGTTTTACATGAATCAGTACCAGCTACTACGATAAAGCCACAGTAAAGTCAACTCTAAGCTATCAGACCCAGTGAGTTTATTTGTAGTTTTGAGACCATACCGAAGAAAAGGCTTCGAAAAGATCAATGGTTTTATACACATAGCTATGCAAAAACTATCCCCACATGCACCAGCAAACAAAGGTCAGCTGAAACAGCTTGTGACATTTGGCTAGTGAAAAAATATCCAGCTCTGTGTGTCTAATCAGGTTGCGTAAGGCCTACAGCTCTGGGACCACTCTTGTGTACCCTGTTTTGCAGATGACTCAATCTGACGGTAATGAACTAAACTGAAATTGGATGCTCTTCAGCTAGCCTTTAGCACAGTGCTGTGTTGGAGCCATGCTCCCCAGCA